AATCAAATGTATTTAGTTATATCTAAGTAAATGGTAGTGGTGAGTGTTAGTGGAAAATAAAAGGGAATCTTTAGTCATAATACACTTAAAATTGAAAGCCTTTTCATTCATTATTAATGAATATTTCTGAGGGATATGACTTTAATTTACACTAAATCGTAATACATTAGATGAAGGTGACTACTGTTGCCATTACTGTCATTATGCTAGTGCTTATTATGTTAATAGCCCACTGATGACTGGTTTGGCTGAAAACTAAACCCAACACTATTAAATATCTACATCTCATCACCATTGCAATGCTGGATATTGGTCTCTGTTTTTGTTTGGCATTGCTATTATTTCAGTTATTTACAAACTGTTAATGATGGTTAATGTTAAGCTGATTTGATGCCAAGTGTCATCCTCACTAGATAATATTGTGGGAATCAGAGCTAGCTAGTTAGTCATGCATGAGTTTATGGGATGCAGCCACAGCAGTCATTTAGGAAAGTAGATGTGATGTGTGATGTCCTACCTTGGACCAGACAACATTTGGCTTGGGAACTCCATTAGCCTTGCATGACAGTGTGATGGCTATGCCTTCATTGGCTATGTAGTGGTACGGACCAGCACTGATCTCAGGGGGCACTGTGGAAGAAGTAGGTCACAAAACACAGCTGGCCTTAAAGAAGCATGCCTGCAGCATTGTCACTGGCTTTAGTCAGCCAAACAAATCAGAACATCTCTTCATTACAAACCACTGATGCACTGTAATCTGGCCTATCTGTCATTACGTCCCAATAAACAAAATGACCCTTTCATCAAGCCATGTGGGAAATGAACCCTCTCACTATAATGACAGCAGGTGGCCAAGTCATTGAGTTAGTTTTCTATTTTGAGTCAGCACTTTGATGCCTTGACTGCCAAATCTATGATCCAAACTTGCTAATGTCTCTGGCACAGAGAAACTGTATTCAGGAACACGAACTTCATGAATTGTTTAGAGACTTACTGTAGATGAATCAGGAACACGAACTTCATGAATTGTTTGACATTTTGGGAACCAGGCTTGTATACCTTCTGGCTAAGACTTACTGTAGATGAGAATACTGATGCCACTTTCATGTCAGTAAGCTAAATATAAGGCTAGAGCCAGGTAATGTTAGCTTTGCTTAGCATAAAGCATGGAAGCAGGGGGAAACAGCTGGTCAACAAGATTAAAGGCATGTTATCATTTTGACAGAAAAACGGCTTTTGAGTGCACCTCTTCATTATTGTGTATGTGGTGTGTTGTGACGCCTTTCCACAGATGTCTGCAGTGTACAGTATGTGCAGAGCGGAGCGGAGGCGCACTGAAAGTTAAAATTAGATGAACTTTGACTCAAACTGTACCAACAGCATCTTAGCACACTAATATCTACTAATTGGCACTAAACATCAAAATAGCATAGCTTGGTTGAAAAAAAAAATCCATCTACTGGCACCTCTATGGCTCCCAAATTAACATGCATCTTGTTTAAATTTGTACATAAATATAAATGTAAAGCAGCACAATTAGTGGGTTTACAAGGGCTTATTTAGTAGAATCACTTGTAGGCTGTGCCAGTGTCTTTGTGGAGTATCTGCAAGCCACAGCACAAAGTTCTGGCACAACTCCACCCACTGTCAAGCTGCACAGGCAAGAAAAACAAACAAACTGGAAAACAAAATGTCCAGCAACATGTGTAGTGTTCTGAGTAACTTTAATGGAAAGACCAACACGTTTCAGTATAATCCCTGGATAGCCAAGTGGTTATGGTGCATGCCATATATTCAGTTTGGCCTCATCTCCCCATGTTTCCTGTTTGACTCTCTGCTACTCACTGTCAAATAAAAATGGCAAACGTAATCTAAAACATACTTATACAAAGCCAGCATCACAGTTACTGTGAGTAACATGCTGGTCTTCCCAAATCTTAACAAAAAAAGCAAATAGGCTTTCAAAATATCTAATTATTCCTGAAAGGTAGTCTCTTACCATGGACCTCCAGACTGACTGTGATGTTCACAGAGCCTGCTATGTTCACTGCAGTGCAGACATATGTCCCAGCATCCTCTGGGGTTGCTCTTTGAATGTGCAGACTACCATCACTTCTCAAGAACATCCTCCCATTGAGCTGGACCTGTACAAAAAAATACTGTTGTCACACATGGACACAGATGTGATCCAGACATACTGTATTTCAGAGTTGGATACTAGGCAGTCTTACCGGTTTCCCATTTTGGGACCAGTGTCTTTCAGGAAGAGGTATACCATCCAACAGCATGCAAGGAATACTCAGGGACTGACCAATACCAGTGGTGATGGTCGGGGAACCTTGGGCCAAGAGAGGGGGTTCTACATGAAAAAAAAGAGTAAAAACATAGATACTAAATAGGAGCATGGAAATGTATTTTAAGGTTGCAGTCAGCTTTAGAGTTGATACAGTATAATAGTTTTGGACGTACATAGCACAAAAAATACAGGAGTGTAGTCAAGCCTACCCAGTCCAGTGACACTAACTCTGGCCTCAGTTGTGATGGTTTCAAACTGGTTCTTGGCCTCACAGATGTACAGTCCTTCATCATCCAGCCAGACACCTGCAGTCAAACACATCACACTCTATACATCTGAGACAAACAGGATCTCTTCTCTCTGAGCAAGAAAACACTTTATCAGAAATAGCAGTTAAGTGCCCCACTCAGTAACAAGTGGTATTATTGGTTTGACTGCACTGTAATTAAGAGTTAAAAATAGAAAATAATGGGAATAATGGGTTTGTCTCAGCTGCCAGCCTGCTGACACACATGTCCCACTCAGTAAATTCCCTAGAGAAGAGTTCCCTGTTGGAGGATCAGCATATGATTCAAGTCTTGTGTTCAGCCAGTCAGGCTGATGCTTAAATAGGTGATGATAAAACACTAAGTATTAAAGCAAAAAGCGAGGAGCAGGATGGCAAAACATGGTGGCATTTGTGTGTACACACAGTACAGATAAAAGCATTTTCTAACAGTGGCAGGTAAAAAAATATCAAAATAAAAAATAAAGTCATCTGCAACAGATTTAACTAATTAAGTCAGACAGCAGCCACAAATGGAAACAGTGACAGGAGCAGCCCTCGCAAATGTGTGAGTTCCTCTCTAATATAACATTATGCACACTATAAACATTTAGTCTCAGCAGCACACAGAGTCAGCTTCAATGACTAAGATTGTTCATATTGCAGGCTATAAGGCCTCCAGAGTTCACAAATTAATTCCCCTTGCCCTGATGAGAATACAGTATCACAGCGAAAGAGAAATAAATGGACACAGGGAGAGTACTACTAGATTATTCTTGCAGAATGATTCATAGTATTAAATTTATGTGGCACTTATTAGGTGAGTCCTCCACAGAACGGAAGCAGAGGTTTTAGCAGAAGAGAGATTTATTAATGTTTTGAGAGCCATTTATACACTATTACTTTACCAGTTACATCTAGTGCAATGGCAAACTGTTGCCTCACTTTCTTAAGAAAATGTTAGCTGAATTTGATATGAAAGGCTGTATCTCTTCTATATATAATCACTCACAAAATTTCAGTCATGCCAGTCAGTGCAAGGCAACCATGAAGCTGCATTAGCCCGCACTGTAAACCACAGATCATTGCCATGATAGTGTTTCATGGAGAACTCACTCTGGATTAGAAGATGTCCGTTCTCCAGCTGCACTGTTCGACTGTGGCTGTCTGTCCTTGTAAGAATCTGTCTGCCGTCCTGTCTGTGCCAGGTCACTGTCGGCTGTGGGAGACCTCGGGCAACGCATGGGAGGGTGATATTCTCCCCCACATTAGCCGTAACATCAACTGGTACCTCTGAGAACAATGGGCCCGCTGTGGAGACATGATTGGTAAAAGATGACATTTTTCTTTATGTAAATTTGACAGAAAAATATGTTTTGCGTGAACCAGCGAAGTTTGCTTTCACCTCCAATCTCCAGAGTGACAGTGCCAGTGGAAGTTCCAGCAGAGCTGCTGGCCACACAGCTGTATTGACCAGCATCAACCTCCTGCACCTCTCGAATGTGCAAAGTCCCACGGTGTACATCCTGCTCAACAAATGGAGCAGAACCCACGTTGATCTCACCTGGGAGCACAAAACCATAAACCTGTTGGTCTCTAACACAGTCCAGTCATATTAATGAACACGCTGTGTTTGACCTTATCTTACCTTTGAACCAGTGGACAAGGGGAGAGGGAACACCTGTGGCTTGACACTCCAGAGTAGCATCACCGCCAACAGACACAAGTACAGCCTGCTGCACCACTGTTATTCTAGGCACCTCTGGAGATACAAAAGGGCCGTTTACGATGCATTTCACCATGGTGAGGATATTTATTTCATAGCAATTTACCAAATGTGCATACTATGCTACTATAGGTAGAAATAATAGTAATACTGTGCAATGTTGGCTTAAACAAGCACAGGCTGCAGAAAAACGTGAGCTAAATGTAAAAAAAACAAAACAAACAAACAAAAAAAGCACTACACTTCCATGTCCATACAGTATGAATAGCTGCTTTTGGAATAGGTAGACAGCTAAGCTGAACCAAAGGGAAGCTCTATCTTACAAAGCAATGGCTGCTTTGACAGATCAATGTTGTTAAAAATGACATTCAGAAACAAAAGTGTGTATAAGGAAGAGGCTGTCACAGTCTGTCAGTGTTGAGGCTTCAGCCAACCAATAACTGACAGCCGTGACTGAAACTTCAGGCCTACAACTGTCAGTGCTCACAAAACAAGGAGAGAAATATCTTATTGTGTGAGACAGGACAGCATGTGGCCACACTCAGTTGTGTGTGCTCTACTCAAACTCATGCACTACTCACAATGATTTATTCAAATCAAATGCTGTTGAGGAACAGTCAACAACACGGAGATAAATGTGGAACCTCATTTTAAGCCTGAACATTAATGCCAAGAGAAATAATTATTCAGTACCGAACCACGTCTTCATTTGAACTTCAACTTGACATTTATAAAGATTTGTTGACTTACCTGCATAAGTAAGTGACACAGACTGAGAGGCAGTCCCAACCTCATTGGTTGCCAGACATGTGTAGTTCCCAGCATCCTCTGGAAGGGCCCCGCTAATGGTCAGAGCCCCATACTGGTTTAGACTCAACCTATACCACGCAATCAGCAGAATTTTAGGTTATTAACATTTTGCAATTTCATGTGCACATGTACAATGAAAACTGATTTCTAAACCTTACTGCTACTCTTGGGTGTCATGTCTTTTTTCACTGAATACATTATTTACACAAACATATAACGTCCTTATGGTTTGGCAAAAAGCTGTTGCTTTAGTAGATGTAAATATCCAAAGTGATTCAAACTACAAATGGCAATGGTGCATGCAGGTAAAGTAGAATGTAATGATCTTGGAGTCCTCTGTGCCAGAGGTGCTGAGTGGGCCGAGAGTTCCCTTACCGCGGCCGATTATTGAGGAACAGGTTTCCATGGCTCCAGAAGAGCTGGGGAGGGGGGTAGCCGGATGCTGAGCAGATGAGTCGGATCTCATCCCCTCGGAAGAAAGCCTGGCTCTGGGGGTGAACCACCACAGAAGGAGCCTCTACAATAAGAGGCAAAAGAAGTTGAGGAGGCCTCAGGGTGTCGTCACCATTCCATGATGACATTTATAACGTCCCTATACTGTGCAGGTTTAACAGCAGTAAACTCCTGATGATGTGGGCTGCAATGCAATACCAAGCACTCCATGCCTGACATCATGACTGGGGGATCATAGTGAGGAGACATTCCACATTAATTTGGCTGCTTTTGAAACTCATTCAAAACATGCCCACAATTAAAGCCACATTTTTCAACATGCATCAATTCTGGATGATGAAAAACATTTTCTGACAAAGACGTGGTTCAATCTGACTGTAAGGAGGTGAAGCCACTAATGGAGACCAGATCACAGGGGCCTGAGAGAGACCACGAGGGCCTGGCATGCTAAGCGTTTAAGCAGACGTCCTGCAGGGTATTGTCCTTCTGTACCTGGAACGAACAGCCACACGGTGATTCTGCTGTCTCCATCAGCATTAGTGGCCACACAGTGGTACTCCCCAGCATCCTGAGGCCGCACGCCACTGATTTGCAGGGACAAGTCGGACAACAGCTTCACCCTCCCTGTGAGGGCCCGGATGATATGACCCGCTCGATGCCAGGTCAAGTTGTGGCGCATGGAGCCTTCTACCTGGCAGTGCAGCACAGCAATGCCTCCCACAGAGGAAGTCACATTCACTGCTGGCTTCAGGACCGGAGGCGGCTCTGTTTTAGTGAAAGCACAACCAAAACATCAAACTGGTGTTATCAGCAGTGAGCAATAAAAGTTAATGCTTTAATACAAATGTTTGTGCTGGCATGCTTTGTCATGTTGACGTTTTAGCCATAAATCTGAGATTTAAAAAAGGCTGTAATTTATTTAAAAGCTGTGCCGTAACTGTGATGCATGTGATCAAAACAGGTTATGAAGTGTGTGTGCACTTGCATTGCTGTATGTGTGTGTGACATACCTCTAACAGTGAACTGTGTTATGGCACGTCCCTGGCCTGCACTGCTCTGTGCTATGCACTCATACAGGCCTTCATCCTCAGCTAATGTGTAGGCAATCTCCCACGATGTTATGGCAGAATTCCTGATACAAAGACATGTTTGGTTCATTGGCTGATGTTCGACAATAGCAACAAGATCCTGCTTTATATCATAATTAGTATCTCTGACACACACACACACACACACACACACACACACACACACACACACACACACACACTCCAAGAATAGTTTACTACAAGTCAGCTTCACTTCATGAATGTAATTCAAAGCAGAGAACCGGCCAAGAAAGAATAGGCACTTTGTTTTCATCATGACACAGTCAAATATGTAATGTTCTCCGAATTGTGTTTACCTGTTTCCTGAGAGATAAGCCAATAAAAACCAAGGGTCATGCAGCACTAAACCTTTACAGATGTGCTCAGAAATAAGAGTATGTGAGAGACCTAATTAGTGTTTTTTTAGAGCAGGTAATGGCCACAAGTGTTGCAGAATGCTGAGCACATAAAGGAGAGACTTACTGAAAGACCTTCTCCTCTCCCACTGGAATCCCACGTCTGGTGAATCTTAGCCTGTAGGGTATGTCACTCTCCACTGAGCAGCCAATCACAGCAGGCTGCATGTAGAAGCCCTCTACCTCATCGGGCATGCTCACAGCTGGGGGATCTACACAAGAGAGGAAACTAAGGTTAAAGGTCACCAGAAGGATTAATGAGTTGTGCGAAACACCGTGGAGTGGATTTGGTGGGATGTGCCTTCGGAGAGGGGGTTGTCGTGCCTGGAATAATGTTGGTGTAGGAGACACTTGACAGCCTCTGGAAGCGGTAGCCCTCCTCGTCTTTGCCTGTCACCTTTATGAAGAAGCTCTGGGATGGGGTGCGGAACTCTGGAAGACTCCACAGTCCTTGTTGGCCGAGGTCAGGGGGCATAGGTACGGGAATTGTGCGCAAAGAGCGGCCTGAACCAGATATCAGCTCCACATGGCTCAGCCGACCTGGAGGCTTCAGGCCTGTACATTTCAGCAAAACATGGGCTGGAAGTCCTGGGGGACACAAAGAAAGATCACCACGAAGTCCTCTTTTTGCATGTTTTAACTCTTAAAAATAAAAGAAACATGTTCAGCACCTTTTATTGGCCTTTCCCGGGTGAGGTTGAACTCAGAAACAGCTACGGTGGAAAAGCCAGCCCGGAAGTCTAGACTGCTGACTCCTGTGACTCTCAGAGTATGCCGCCCACTGCAACTCACCTTTAGAAAGAAAGCAATTGTATTCAATTTAGCTACTGTGATTAAATACTCAATCAAATACTTATGAATTATTTACCTTTAGGTTCCAAGCCCCTGGTCTGGGAAACTTCAGGCTGATGACACGGGCTGAGTTGGGAATGTTCAGCAGCTCTTTAAGGCCATGCTCCAAACCAACTACACGACCTGCAAGATGAACACAAGTAACTTTTTCTATGGAAAATGTGTCTCCCTTGTTTTGGGGGGGACAGAAATATTGTCGATTAATGTAGCAGGAAAGTAAATTGCTGTCTACCAAAGGGATCGCTGAGTTCGATTTGTGGTGTTGGTCCACTGAGTGACACAGTGACCTCTCTGAGGCTGGGGTCAAATGGCACTTCCCACTTGTTCTCCTGGGCACTATCATGGTTGGAGGACAGCAAGTGGACCTTCATGGCCTGAACGGTCTCTTCGACCCATTTTAAAACCTAAAACAGGGGAAAACAGTATCAGTGAATCACAGCTGAGCAACATGTGTCAGGAGACACATTCACCGCTGGGAGAAGCTGAGCCTCGTCATCTACAAACTGCCAGAAATCACATCTCAACTTAGAAAGACAAAGGGAAGATGGGAAGGAAAAGACTGTGGTCTTTTCCTGAAAGCCCTCACCAACCCCTTCCCTGCCTCAGCAGCAGGCTGCTCTTTATCTTCAGATTTTCATCTCAAGAGGATTCCTCAGAGGAGTTTTGATTAAACAAAGGAAAAATAAAAAGCTTGACTGTCAAACTGATAATATACAGTTTTCTGCACTCTCAAGCATGTATTCCCAGAAGAGAGTCTCTCACAGTGGAAGTCTGTCAGGCAGCAGTCGCCCTCCTGCACCACAGCTTTCATGAATCATAAGGCTTGTTCCTCATGACAGAAGGCGGGACATGCCTTTGTTTTAAAAATACAATTAAACTGTGTATTTAACACCATCAACTTGACTGATGTGCAGGATCAGTTATGGACAGAAATGGCTGGATGTTTGCCACTTTGCTGTTCCATCGTTTAAGCTTGAAAAGTCAAATGAGGCCGCACAATGACACATTAGGGCTTCAGGAGGCTCGCTTCTCATATGACTCATTCCAACGGTCAAAGATTATCTGAAGTCTGAAATAATGAAAGACTTTAACACACCAGCTTTCCAGATAAATAGGACACACTATAGAATTTCAGTTGTGACAGGTGCCTGACCTTCATGCTATAAACATTTATTATGGTATTGATAAAGACTACAGTTATCTTTTGTTTTCTATAAAATGAAAACAGAAGCAGTAAAACCCACTGACATTTCACAGAGTCTCATTTCAGTGGCCACAATGGACCAAATGTCTTCCATCTTCCAAATACTTAACAAGCAACTGCTGTCTAGTATTTGTTTTGACCTCATATTCAGAGGTATTATAGCTGAGCTGCGTCTGCATTGAGACAAATTGAAAACATTTCTTCACTTGGAGTCGGAGCCAACTGCATCACGTAAGACATTTACAAGGAAACGAACAAGGAAAGCCTTTGTTAATTTAATTATCAGTCCTCCATTGTTTATCCATCAGGTCTGCTGGGTGCTGACAGCAATTGGTTCCTCTCACAATTTTACAGCTGGAAACAGCTGTAATGTCTGCCACATGTGCAGCTATCACCAGCAGAAGTGACCTACATCTGCCCCACAGTTGTGCCTAGGCCTTCTGCAAGAGAGCAGAGAGGAGACCTCAGATAAAATAAAGTGGGGATACAATGACTAGCTGTTTGGGACACGGTAGGTCTCGTTCCCTGGTTCAACCACAGGGACGGTAGAGGATTGTGAATCCTGTCAAACCTCATTCAGTGTGTCTCACATGAACACACTTACAGGGCTGTTACAGAAAGGACCCCCCTCTGGTATTCATAGAAGCATGACAGGTGGAGCCAGAGAAGAAGGTTTCACTAAGGCTGAGGTAATGCTGTAATCCAGTCACTTATCCAGGTAAATTACTTGCAGAGGAAATACAATGCTGTGGTCACTCAGATCTCCCAGAGAACAGGGGTCAGTAAATTACTTGCAGAGGAAATACAATGCAGAACAGGGGTCATTCCATGCCCATTTTTAGATGTCACAATGGCTGACATTTGCAGGAAAATGTCCTGCTACAAGTCAAGGTTGTTAGAGCAAATCGGTCCCAGGTGGACCCCCTGCTCCTTCTCAGCGGGAGTTTGAACACTCCTACAGTGGCTTTGCCTGTTACAAGTGACCTGGGTCAGAGAGAGGCAGCTATATCATAGATGGTGCAATTTGTTTAGCACATTCAGGAACACAACTAAGAACAAATACTACCTGGGATTCATTTTATGACTGACAACCATTTCCAGTCCCCAAACACACTGCTGTGTCCACATAATGAGGAAACCATGAGGGCAGTGTTATAAATGATTCTTCAAGACACTCGGGTTGAGTGTATGTGCAGCTTTTAGGCAGAAACACAAAACAACTGGTTATATACTATGCTGCAAAACTGGAACTTCATTACATTCTTCTTTAAAACCCTGTTACTGTGTGAAAACAGAGCGGACATTATCTGGAAAATAAAACACCACAGCCCTCATTTTTGATCAGTGTTTCAGGCTACCAGTGACTAAAGATGGTATCATTGCCATAAAAAAGCAGAGATCACGGCCCAGGTTCGACAGCACATTAACATGATTTTTTATCCATGCTCTTGTTAGCAGATTCTCTAGTGGATCATGACCTGTCAAATTTAAAAAGTGTAAAGAGGCCAAAGCTGACAATAAGCTGTTGTGTGAGGACTTGGAGCCAACTCCACTGGGCAGCTGTGTTGGAAGGAGGGAAGCCATGACAGATCATCTACTAGGATTAGAGAGTAAAATAAGCAGTCTGTTTTCTCTCCACTCTCGTGCCTGGTGACCACAAAAAGACTTGGTATATTTGATTTGGCCACACTTTAATAAACTGCTATTAATAAAGCATATTATGGTTAGATTTGTAGTACTTTGGACATTTTTAGGGATTAGAGGCTTTGGATTAATTTGGTAAAAGCATGCCCCCAAGAGCTATAATCACACAGGCCTAAAAGTGTCTGACATTCAGTAACTCAATGTGGGTCCAAGAAAAATGTTTTCGTAAGTATGCATATGTTTACATGTAACAGTACACTAAGAACATGTCAAAGTATTTTAGGCTACTTCAGCAACAAGCCATCTGGGGTTGAGGTGTGAGGGCTGGAGCAAAATTGGTCTCCTATTCCCTTAACACTGCAACATGAAATGACATTCAAACACTCCTTGAACAGCTGCCAGGAGTATAGAGTGATAATGAGCTGAGCTGCTCCATACACGGGTGCTGCATGTTTAGCTACATGCATGCACGACTTGACAGGAAACAGACAAGGGGGGCACCGGTGTACAGAGCTGTTGGCTCCATCTCAGTGCTGCCCAGCCATCTCCTGTGCAGGATACCAGTGTCTCTTCCAGAGGAAACTCTGGCTTCTTTTACATCTGCCTGGGAAGTGAGCCCCGCTGTCTTTGGCCTCTTTAAACAGGACTTCTGTTACACACTGCTTCCGTTATCAGTCAGCCGTATCACAGGACCAGGAAGTTCAACATCAGCTTTGGAATCATTTACACTAAGTGAAAAATCACTATTATTACAACAGTGGGGTCAGATGGGGCTTGTTCCTGTCCTGCTCCTGCAGTGCTCCATTATTAACCAATAAAACCCTTTTCATATTTATATACACCACTGAGAAATACTTTATGGCCTTGTGAAAGTAATTGAATTGTCATGGTCTCATTTACATTGCAATGTACTCTGTTGTGCTCTCACCTCGTTGACCTGCTGCTTGTCCAAGTGAAAGATTTGTCCGGAGGAGGTGGCAGCGATCTCTTCATAGGCCCTGTAGCCTGGCTGAGAGCGGTCCCCACAGTCCCCAGTTAACACAAATACCACCTGGGAATGAAGAGGGCAGCAGCGTTAAGAGGATTACTACTGTTCAGTCTTTGCTTTTTACAAACTCGCTTTCAGCTGACTCCAAAGAGATGCTAATACTCATTGTCATGCTTCACATAGGGGAAGGGCCTTAGTGACTTCTCCTGCTCAAAGGAGCATCTCTGAACTTCACTGGCCTTTCACAGTCTGGCACTGTACTGCTTTTGTTACATGTGCATGTGATGAAAGCAAAGATACTCAAATCTCTGTGGGCCAGCTTTAGATCTTTACATCATTTTCCTGCTAGCATCAGATCAACAGATTTTACATCATTATGAGAGACTTAGACAAAACTAAGGAAATGCTTGCATACATATTATTTGCACCATTTTAACATACTGTAACTATAGTAAAGGAGGAAGCTCCATCATATGTGCGATGAATGGCACTGATATTTGACATTTTGTCAAATACTAATTGGACTGACACAGTCTCTAGCACTAAGCTGTAAGATCCTGCACAACCCTATTGGCTTGTACGGTACCTGTGATTGACGGAGCTGAACCAGCTGCAGAACATCTCTTTTCAGGCGGTAGTCTTTGGCTCTTGCGTCAGTGAAGACATAGATGAAGGAACCAGGCAGGGAAACCTCCAAGGCTTTCTTTATGGCTCCTAAACTCATTTCAGGGCAGTCACCCCCACCCTGGGTGACAGAATCACACACGATCAAACACTGCTGGAAGAAATCATCTCTAACTATCTCATTTTGAACATCATTCAGACTTATCCTATACTAGTAAATCCTTTAGTTTCCCAGTTGGGAATAATACAGGTAAAAGAAATATTTAAACCCTAATACTCACTAAAGCTTCACAGTGTAACGCCTGAGAGCACCCTTGTTCAAATTAATAGTCAGGGGTTTCAGCACTACAGCCTCACTTGGTCTGATGCAACCAGTATCTTATGATGGCTAATGTTAGCAAACTTCAGATAGACACTGTAGTTTAAGTTACATTCCTGAGTCTACTTGCTGATTTTAAGACTCTTCTCTAACTATACTACTATTACACTGCATTATAGCAGTGTAATATGTGTGGCCATAGTGACTGCTGTTCGGTAAACGTTACACGGGCTAGCTTTAAACAATGGCCGTCCATGTACAGTAGCTATATTCTGGACTAACGTGAGACAATACAGGGGTCCTAGTCCTGTAGAATAATGATTCTGTGTGTCCTGGGTCCCACCTGGACAAACAGCTCTTGCAGATCCTGCTGGAACTTCTTTGGGTCAGTAGTAATGGACACAGGACCGATATCTGCAAGGGTGGAAATGTATATCGTTGAAAGTAAAAGACTTTTACAGAAAACAAAATCAAATCATATTAATGAGAACTGTTCTGGTTGAAACACTGTGCAGCAATCTGTGCCAATAACTATCCATCCCAATCAGATAAGACCTACAGGTCTAACTTGTCTGAATGTTTCACCAAAGTCAACAAAACTACTGTACAATGATTTGCTTTTGTTTTACATACATTGCTTTAATCTGGCCAGAGTTTGAATGCACACAGAATCATCATTTTCTGCAGCTGTAGTCAGCATTTTCTACTGTGTGACTTTCTCAAGCAGCAGCAGACCACAACATGATGGATAAGAGCCTGTCAGGGCCTGACAATTTCTTGGATGCCTTCTGGGGCCAATCTGTGAAACAGTAAACATTAACCAATACACAGAGAACACACTGTTTTTGCTGTAGAACACTGCTGTCCATAAACACAATCTTTTCATTACAGGTTATTCCAGTGACGACCCTCATGGTTTCTGTTTGTCTGTGCTTGTTATTCCAATTGTCAAACACCATTCTGAAGCATCTTTGTGAGACTAATGATACAGAACTGGTAGACACGTGTCAAGCTTACATTTCTAATTCAGTCTTAGTCTATTTCTCAACTGTGGAGGCTTTCAAGTCCTTGTCTTCTCTTCATGAATGCCGGTAAACACTGACAGCACTGTCACGCCTCTTTGTAAGCCACTAAGACTTCTTTGCAATCCTGGAAGTTTATAAGGTGCCCAAGGGCAGTGCATGTCAAACATGGACAAAATGTGTGTTAGTGCAGCCCACCGCCCACCATCCCTCCCCCGGCCAGCTATACCGGGGCTGTGAAGGTTTTCCAGAGCCTTGGTCGGTTGGAGAAGAGGGAGGAATGGAGGGGTGACTGGGGTAATTACACACAAGCAGACAGCATATGCTTCTCATCAGTGTTCAAACACCCTCCCCCATTAGAGCACTTTTATTTTCAAGCTGCAGCTTTCCCATACAGGAGGACAGATGCCAGAGGTGAAGAGTCTTACCTGTCCTACTAAAATCAGATAATCCTGCTTAAAGTCTTTGTATCAGTTTTCATAGTGCTGCTCCATGGGCACACTTAAAGGAAGCAGCTGTGAGCTGCAGGTTCTGATATGTGCTGCACTTTGCTTTCTGTGATCTGTTCAAGTACAACTTGGTAAATGATTCCAAACGGTAAGCTTAAAGGAAATGAGGGTCATTTTACCCACAAATGTCCATTTGAACTTGTAAAGAATAGGGCTGTACTACCGTAGAAAAGTCTAACCACACAGAATTGAAATTAATGTTTGCATTTGATCGACTGCTCAGTTTATTGTACGAGTCATAATCAAGGGCTACTCCTGTCACAAAACAGAAGTGTGCTCCGTCAGTACCTCATCAGACGTGTTTCGTGCAACAGTACCTGGGTCATGGAATGGGACGAGGACGAAGTTTTTGATGGGTCTGGTCCTCCGGCTGAGGGTCTTCTCCAGGATCCGCGAGGCGCCCTCTATCACCTGTTTCAAATCGTCGTACATGGAGCCAGTAACATCGAACACAAAGGCCAGGGTCGAGGCGCTGTCACCGGATCCATCCTCCTCCTCAGCCCGGTGGACTGCCATGAGCCTGTGCGCGCTGATACACAGCGCCAGGACCAGGCACTTTAATAACACACCGGTCATTTTTTTTTTTTTTTTTTTAGCTGTGCTCCATCTGTCTGCAGATCACATACATAAGGCGAATCACATACAATTTTTAAAAAAGTTTCACCAAGTTTTCTTTCAAAGCAACTCAAACAAGCCCGGGACTGTTTCCAAACGGTAGAAGATATATTTGAAACGACAAGCCTCGGCTGGAACGCATCAAACCCAGTGTAAAATACCTCCACAGGAGTACATCCGTGCACAAAGTTTGGAGGAGCGTGTGGACTGGCCCTGTGTGGAAGAGCCCATGTAGAGCTGGTGCTCTGACGCTTCAGCCGGGGGCGGAGATGTGCATTAAAAGCTGATTTTTTCTCCTGTGTAACTCGACCTCAGTGTGAGCTCCAGGCTTTAGCCACATCTAACTTTCCCCCTTCAATTCGATTATCGAGGTGCGCCCCTAGAGACTCGGTGTTTAACAGCTTTGCGCACGTTGCCCACAGTGTCTGGAGTGTGTATTTTGGACATGGTGAGAACATTGTCTAACAACTTCATTTCTATAAATAGTTATAGTTTATATTCAGCTGACACCAACCTAATTTTATACATAACCCACCCTGACAAACATGCCTTGCCATATGAATAGGTGGCTAGCTTTATACATAACATAGAAAAGGCGCTGGTCTTTTTTACTTGGTTGCTGATCGGGATAGAAATATGTTATCAATCCTTAAAGGTTATTTATTCATAAGCACTTGACACCTAGCTATGACATACATTGTCTAGGCGGATAAAACCTCAAAGAGGAAACCATGCCCTGATCTTATAGATGTAATAATTCATTATTCAGGGTCTTCTTTCGGGGCCCAGAAAATCTTTGAAAGAAGTAACTGGTTATTTGTTTCAAAATCCCCTCGTCTTTTGGCTCAGATGCTTTTGAAACCTCAATGGGCTACAGTGAATCAAAGATATACCCAAAGGATAAACAGTTCTACCCTCCTCCGTGATAACACTCCCATCTGTCTTTGACAAGACGACCAAGTGAATAGACAGACCCAGCAGCCTCCACAAAAAGCCACTGAGTCTCATAAACCCACCCATTAATGCCAAGACTTCAATTTTATCAGTTCTTTGTTCATTTTACAACCACGCAGTACAGATATACCACAGAGTAAGTTGTCACGTAAGACCGGATTTCAAAGCAGAACATGAAACTTGCCATGGAATGACACCATATGAGTGGAGTGGCTCAGTACTGGATGAGCTAGTACAATACAATAGGATGTGTGAGAAGTGATGACCATTATGAAGTTTTACATTTTACAAATGGACATTTCAGCAAACAATCATTCTGCAGAGCAACTCCTTAAAATGATCAAATATGGGTAAAGACCTTTCTTTGCATTCTAGTTAAAGAACCCAGTAACAGAAAACTTAACCACATAAATGCATTTATTCTGTGCTCTTATACTGGTAATCAACAGGTAAATGACATTTATCACTTAGTAATTTATCATTTGCATAAGGCATACAAATTAGTGAAGCTGATAAAACATCTTAACGCTTTAACTAAAATAATCCAAGAATGAAAAAAGGCATCATCACATGCTCTGGCTTCACACAGGACAAATACAAAGAGGACAACTGCAACCACAGAGCTCGCAAAAGCTTTACAGCCAGAATTGATGTCTGTTTGTGCCTCTCAATGACCGAGGCTTTGTGTGTGCTGAGGGTGGTGTACCATGCTCTCAAAAGAAATAACGAGCCTCGATTCAGATGTAAGCTGTGAGAAATTGCTGTGTTGCCTGGTCATGTTGTTCAGGGTGTTGCAGTGCAGCACTGCAGACACTAGGTGCTCATGCTAACAAGGAAGTGAAAACACAATAGGATGCACACAATGCAAGCATAGTAAAATAATCTATAGTAAAGTCCCCGCTATTTCAACAAACCTTTTAATAATAATAAATAAAACCCTGCTGTCTCGGGCAAAGGAAAGCTCCGAATGTGAGGAAAAATAACAATCCCACAATAATAAGGAAAAATACAGTGCAATACAGTTCAACACCGTAGATAAAAATAAAACCTCATTCCATATTTATAAGGAAATTCCCATAAATGCAGCAAAGCAGAAGATAAATTAGCATTATATTTACATTATACAATATACACTACTTTAAGTTGGTTTTATCACCAAGGAACACATTTTGTTCAGATTCTCTTGGGTTTAGTCTTTCCATGAAGCAGCAGCAGCAGCAGCAGCACAGTTCCTCTGAGCGGCTCATGTGCATCCCCTGGTTTAAACACATGTATGCATGTGTGGACAAGACACACAGTAATACCTCCAAGGGAATTCAGTTCCAAAGACTGTCCATGGGAAAACCACAACACTGTGCTTGCAGAAATGCTTGTACACAGTCCAAAACACTCAAGGGTGTACACAGTGCCACACAGCTGTAGAAGCACAGATAAATGACTGAGGGTTTTGCTGAAACATTTGAAGCCTCTGTCACGTTAGAGGAAATATTTGTTCACGATCCTTAGTGGAAATGTAAACGAACAGCTACTTGACACAGAAGTCATAGGGCCGTACGACAAACGTTTGCAGTCCACTTCTGGGTGAGTAAATTAAATGTGGCTTCCTCCCATTCCAGGTGTGATAGTACTGGACTGGCATGTAACACGCAGGAGGATGCTCAGTTGGCTCCATCTGAGAAGCTGTAAGAATGATTACCATTTTAATAGATGACAGTAAGTGGTGTCATGGTACCTGGGTGTGTTCAGAGCATGCAAGATGATCACTAAACAGCTACTGCATTCACTAAAATATGTTACACCAGCCCACTTCACAGTTGACAAAACGCTGAGCAGGATATTAGCAACAATTGGCAGCACTCTGTGCATTATATTAGGCAGTGAGAGGAGAGGGCCGTCTCGCTCTTCACTCAGCACTGCAAGACTATTTGATTGCCAGCAAACAAGTGGGCCATTTGAATAATTCATAAGAACAAACTGAGAGCAGAAAGTGGCTTCTTCACTGTGGTTTCAGCCCACAGACAGAATTTCCCTTTTATTCTCTGCTCTGATGAAATAAGAATTACACAGTATTATCTTGGAACTGAAGCACGGCCTGGGATTGAAAAACCACCCAAGCAGAGAAGTATGCAGGTACTAACTCATAAACGCCCTGCTCACCTTACACAAGTCCATCATAGAGTGACAATGCTTGAACAATAGAGGGGTCCGCCTTTGAGCCCTCCTGAAACTCCTGCAGAGTCAGCTTCCCATCTGCATTCTGCAAGAATAATGTAAAGCTAAATGAAAGTGAAGACTGTTAATGCTTTAACACAGAGTTACCAGCAGGGGGCAAAATCATGCTACTCCTGTAACGTGCTGGTGGACTGATATTTGGTTCATTGCACTTGGATGGTAGCCACTCTCTGCCAATACAAATCATCAAGTGCTGCTGTGCTGCACAGCTAGTCCAATGGGCTGAGCTTGGCAGTCGTGGGCTGATAAACACGCCCATGCAGGCTGCGACTCATCCTTCACTGAAGCTGAGCAGTCTTGGTGCTGAGGGCACTGGACATTAGTGCCGGGGGCACCATATATGTTTATAGACTGCAGGCAGTGCTAGAGACGTTGTAATGGCTACAGCTAATGGCTCTACACAGTGTCAGGGTCAAAGCCCTGAGGGTGGCAACAAAGGCAGATTCAGTCATCTTAAACTAATAATGGTGGTATGGCACTGCATTACTGTCTCTGTCAATTCAGTCTTTAGATATTACCTCAACAATAAAATACTGACCTTGTCCATCATTGCAAAAATACGGTCCACTCGCTTTTCTGGTGTGTTTTCTTCCTCAGGCAGTTCCACAGTGTTCCCCTAAGATATGGAACCATTACACTATGTACATTTCAGACACTTCAGGTTTAAATTTCTGAAGTTTGATCAACCTTACCACCATCTGATATATGGCATCTACAATGTTCAACATCTCATCACGGGTGATGTAGCCATCGTTGTCAAGGTCATACAACTTAAAAGCCCCTGTGTTGAGACAGATATAAAAGATATACACATTTTCTGAAGAAGAGACTCATGACTATTTCTAATAGGTGAGCTCATATTGAGATCAGAAATGTAACCTCAACATGTGAAAGAAAGGATTATATTAAAATATATATTTTTTATGGCTTACAGAGCACAAAGCATTTCATGTGTTAGCAAGTGGTGAAAACTGAGTAGAGACAGGCAGCAGCCTTTCATGGTGGCTTCATATTTCAAAAGGCGACAGTGGTAACTCCGGATATAAATAATGGCAATGGTTGCAGAGGCCTGCTGCATTTTACTATAAATCTTTAATTTGCTGCTTTCTAGGAACCCAGTGGTCCTCTTTTTTTAAATCTAATACAAGGCAGTCAGTTCTAAATCCTGCCATTTTGTAATACCAGTCAATAGTTTTCCATTGAATTGAATGAGAAAGAATGTCCATGAGTGGTCATGTAAATAACAAAAAGTAGGGGACTAGATGAATTTTCTTACATCTCAACTTCTCATCCAGAGTCCCCCGAGAAGTCACTGACAAGGCCTGGATGAACTCAGAAAACTCAATGCGTCCATCCTACAAAGTGACAAAAGGGAAAGAAAGAGAGAGAGGAAATGGCTCAGAGACCAGATGTGCATCTTACTTCACACTTGTCATTCTTTTATCATGGCCTTGCTGTATTCTGCTTAAAAAAATAAAATAAAATAAAAAAAACTGGGCTAGACATTTGCTCCAAGTCAGCTGCTATTTTTGAGCCCAGCACCTGGGCCTCTTCTGAGGCAGAAATATGTCACCTCTGGTTATTAGTAAGATGGATGCTACTACCTCACAGGCTACAAGTTCACAAACATGCAACCACTGGATATTTGGAGCAAAGATGTTTCATATTTCTCAAGTGATTCCAGAGAGTCCACAAATGGACTTGGCAGATGAATTCATTCAACAAGTTTGAAAATATTCTACTCCCTATGTGCTCAGTCTTACCAAAGAAGCTCTGCATTTCCAATTACCCTCACAAATGTTTGCTTCCATCATTTTTCTGAGGCCACACTGAAACATCTGCTAACATGGTTCATGATCACATATAAAATGAAAGCTCAAAGTGGCTCAACTGCCACTATTCACACCAGCTCATCAAGTTATGGCCTCCACCCTCAGGCAATGACATGAGATTTACTAAAATCAAACTACAGCGCTACACAAAACTGAAAACAACTGATTGTGAGGAACAAGCAACGCCTATACATAAACAGACTTCCTATTAGTGCAGCCATTAGGCTTTGCTCAATTCATATTCTCTCCAGATAACTAAAAGACTGTGCACGCATCCACCAAAGTTTCTCCAACGTGCTACAGTTGCCTAGCTCATTTTAGAAGAAAGGCCCAGCGCTCCTCATAGCCTTGAGGTCACCTAACTTTATCTCTACCAGACATCTGACCAGCAGGACAATGCTTAAGTCATGTAATGCTGATTACATATGTCATAAAAACAGTTAAGACCGATGCATTCTGTAACTCTAGGGTGCCTAATGCTAATGAATGTCACAGATAAACATCAGACAGAGGGTTTGTCTGATCTTCCTGACACAAAGCCTCTTAACTCAAGTCAATAAACCTCCAGGGGCTGTCTCTACAGGCTGCCTCCTTACAAACAATTTGAATAATCTTGTACAGCTGCAACAAGATGGAATACTTCAGACAAATGTAGCTTCTTACAGTTTGGCCTTGTTAAAATGTGCTTTATCATTCCGTTCACAAATCCTTAGAGAAAGCAGCAAAATAACAAGACAAAGGTTTCCTAAAAAAATATCTACACACCTTTTGATAAAAAAAGCATAGCACAAAAAGATGGCTCTCACACTCATATCAACAAAAAGCAGCCATTTTCAAGGACAGAATTACCAATGCTGTTGAAATACTGACTGATAAAGTTCAAGAGAATGACTGTAAAAGGTGAATTTAGCGTTTTGTTATCAAGGTCCTCCAATATAACAGAAAGAGGGCAATCGTGATGTTACACATAATTTGCTGAGTACAATGTAGTGTCTATATTCAAAAAAGTTCTGAATAAATAACCTTCTGTATAAAAAGCTGAAAGCCTGCAGGAAAAAAGCCCCCGGGCAAAAAACACTGCAGCAAAATGAAAAGGATTTCTAATCCATGTCGGCCTTTTATTCAAAGAGGCCTCAGGCTGGTTAAGAAGAAGGAGCTGTTGTTCTTACAAACAAACCTGACCTGAACAAAGACTTTTAGACCGGCTCTAACCTCAGACACTGTCACTTTTCATACAACTTCCCTTATCTGTTACAACCCTGGACAAACAGCCAAAGTATTTATATGTCAGTCTGAAGTGACAACAATATTTTTTATCACTTGTAAAAGAATAATGGATTAGTGTGACTACAAACCTTATTTTCATCAAATACATTGAAGACAAATGAGGCAAACTTTGTGGGATCTCCAAAAGGAAAGAACTGCTTATATATCTTCTGAAAGCCCACAGCATCAAGCTGCCCACTTGGACAATCTTTAATGAAGCCTTTGTACCTGAAAAATAAAGCACAGATAGAGATTATTTAAAAGTTAAAATCATGATAAGACTGTAGGACAATGATGATAGACAAAAATCACCTCCACACTTCTACAACAGTCTTTAATGATTTAGTTTGAAAGGCTGTGTTGGATCAAAAAGGTAAAGCGCAACGCTATTTGTCTCATTCACAGATAAGACCATCATCCTAATCCAGTAGCAAGCCCAGCGTGGTTAACTGTAATCAAATTACTCTCAGTCCTCTTTGGATAATATGCATGGCTGATAGATAGGTCTGAGAGCCTCCTCTGTAGGCATATCTACAGAGCAACTTAACATCCTGATTAGCCTAAATATAGAAGCGTTTCAAGCGCAGTCGCTCAAAGGTAGGCAGTTTCTTTGAATATCTTCATAAAGGAGCACAGCAGCCCCAGAGTCTAACTAGACCGTAACAGGTCAGGGAGCAAGAAAGAGGGTGTTAGCCTTTACAAAAATACTTGATGGAAAGAAAGAGAGGGTGGAAATAATAAAACAAGTTATAAAAAGCAATGCAAAAATGCAAAAAGCTTTTGCTCTTGATCAACAGCAAATATGATCCACGTTCACACAATGGAGCATTGATTCAGTTAAAGCCATCTAAAACAGAGTGCTGCAACCTAAAACCAGGAACCAAGTTAGCATTTTGCACTCCTGGTTCTCTTGCCTGGAGGGCAATGGGCTTTTGGGTTATATGCCTGAAATAAGGTCTGTGATTAACACAAGTCCAATACATTTTCAGGCTTTGTTGCTCGACATAAAATATGTTACAAAATGGCCCACTTTTACTGCTTTCATGTCTTTTTAAAAAGGCGGTTGCTAACAAGTGACTAAATGAGACTACAGAGGCTCTCTGGGATACTAAACGTCATGGCTGAACACAGAGACTCACTAGTCCGTTTTTACAGCCTCGTTGTGTTTAAACTTACACGCTTACAAACTACTGAAACTGACACAGCCATGATCACTAGCTAGATCAGGTAACACTAAGAGGAAAGGATTTTGCAGAAGAGGTAAGCTCGCTAAATCAAATTACAAGTTGGAAGTCGTGACAGTGAAGTCATGGGACCATGATGTAGTTCGTTTATAGCCTAACAGTACTTTTTTTTGTGCTGATTGTAATTGAGCTTCAAAAATCATAAAAGTGGTGTTGATTTGTGAAGATTATCTTGGTATCATAAACTGCTGTTTGTCACAGAGCTTATTTTCTGCATTAATCCAAAAGCCTAAAACCTTTTTGTCGAGGGGGCCAGGGTGATGCTAACTTCCGGGTTGGCCTACAAAAATATATCATCCCTACGGCACTCTATAAGGTAGGGCTGTAATTAAGGCCAGAGAGAGCGTTCTGATGAAGAATGGAGGCCATTATAGACCTTTCCACTCACATCTGGCTCCTCACACCTCTTCAAGTCTTTATTTTAATCTGTTTTAGTGATAATGAAGCCAGCTCCAAACCATCAAAGAGATGAAAAGACGTTTTGCAGAGCAGCTAGGAAAAAAAAATTGAGAAGAACAAGAAGAGGGCAGAACCATGTAATTCTCCCATTTCAATTATCTGGAGATATGCAGGAATACGAATGCCTAACTCAGTGTAGCTCACCGTATTGCAGAATACAACTTGCAGAACACACAGTGCATATCACAGTCCAAAGCCGAGCCACTTCTTAAGTCATTTATAAAGGACTATTGTATATGTAAGCCCATACAAAAGCCTAAAGGATACCAAAGGTTACTTAATATCTTGGTGTGTATGCTGTATATATAATACAGTAGTCTATATATGTTTAAATAAATAAATCTAAAAATCCAAAAAGTGCAAACACTGGTGTGCAAATTTTATGCTTATTATTTACTGTAAAAACAGAATGCAGTATATCTGTAGTATATCTGAATTCAAATTTGTTTGCTTTGTTTTTGCAGTAACACAACCTATTTTAGACAGGCAGCAGCTGGAAACGAAAAGCTGCTCGAATAGGAAAACCATATTTATAAACCACAAAGCATCCACTATTAATACCTTATCTGCTCAACAGAAAGTTAACAAGCGACTACTTTGGTCTTACTTAATAATGTCAGGTAGGTCAAATATCAGCCCATTTTAGTTTATCACCGACAAACTAAATGAAACTGCATTAATAGAGTATATTTACTAATCATGGCCAATTCATATATATTAATATTTGGAGTATGTTTTTTATAAGCTGGTAGGTTTCCTGTAGCCTGCATCACATTTACAGGAGAATACATCAATTCAGATAGATAAATTAACATCACAGACAATAAACACTGTGACCCACGCACTCTAATGAAGACCCTGTGAGGTTGAAATTTGTCTTTATTTTGATCCATTCTGTCTGACAAAATAAATAAAGGTTTAAAGGCACTCTACTGATTTTACAGATTTACTCATCATGAGTAGTATGACTTTCCTTGTAAAAACATATCTTCTGCAGCTCTAGAAAAGTCTTTCAAAGTCTGAAAAATGTTATCAGGGTTATCTTGGACTGTGCTGGAGACTTCAGTGGCTGGGGTATCTAATGAAGGGCACTCATGAGCTACATTATGAGAACTGTTGAGGCTAAAAAGATGTCTCAGCCTCTGCTACTTAGATTTTGAACCCTATTTTATTTATTTTTTTATTTTTTTATGCCTCTGTGCCATTGACAGCTGCAGCAGAAGGCACTATGTTTTTGGGTTGTCCATCCGGACAAACATGCAGGACAGCTTGAGAGAATTTCTTCACAAGTGTCCACTTGCACTCAGAGGTGAACGGATTATACTTTGGAGGTCAAAGGTCAGTGACCTCACATTTGTACCATTCCCATGAATTTGACTGGTTGATAAATGGAGTTTATGTATGTTTTAGATGAGGTACTCAAGGTCAGTACTAACCAGGGTACAAATTTCACAGCGTCATTGCCCTGCCATCTGGCCGTGATGGCCTGTATATCTATCAGAGTTACATGGCCATACATAAGCTACGTACACATACATATCATGTCATTTGTCTCAGTCTTAGTGCCCAGTCAGGTGGCCTTTGTGCCTTCTGAAAATGTATGAAATCAAAGGCCAAATGGCGTTGTCCTTCAAGTTATGGAATTTGATGCACTGAATTTGTCTAAAATTGTCAATCATGATGTGTGACAACATGAACTAAATGAAAGGAAACACTGATTTGGATGTGCAAACCCTTTTTGTGCTTTGGATTTTGATTATATACACCACAAAAAACCCTGTTTTTGTCACTGGTTGAGCATTATTTGCCTCTAACACTGTCAGATTCACAGTGAACAGTTAAAAGAATCAGGTGATATCATCCAGAACACTATTTATCAGATTTTGCACAACTCCCTGTGGAGCCACAAAAGATTTTATACAGCTTTTTTTTCATATACTTGTATGGGGTTGTGCTCCTTTAGACCTACACACTGGCACTGCAAAATCATCAGATGTTGAACATAATTCAGTATAGTTTACATTTTAAAGGTTTCATATTTAGAGTATGGATTTTATTTGCAAAATATTGTTGTATTTGTGTTGCTGTTTACAACTGTTAATAGGTCGAATCAAATTTATTGTTATATTTGCTATGTTTATGATGTTACTGTAGAATGTTGCCTCAATATTTCAGCCATATTCTTTAATTACCTAATTTGAAGGATTCTTATCAAATTTTGTTGATTTACTGTGTTAAGTCATAAAAGTTTTAGGGTGTCCCAGACAGCTAAGTGGTTTCAGTGTGCGTGATGATCGAGGCTCAAGTTCGGTTATGAACCTTTCTTGCTAGTCCCCCCCCCCTTTCTCCCTGCTTTTCTGTCTGATGACCATCAAACCCAGTCAACAGTTACATGACTTTGTTTAATAGGCTGACTACACTGGACATAATACTAGTGCCGTTACATAAGCAGTAAACATACATAAACTGGTACAGTAATTATAATAAACACTATGCCAGTATATAAATGTTTGCACAGAGCCAGCTATTCAGAGTCATGATCAGAATCACCTCCATTTGCCAAGAACACATTATCTACAAGAAATCTGACTTGGTGACACTGGTGCTAACACACATACATGGTCAGAGTGTACTCGAAGTTGTGTAATAATGCAATTACGCACTGTACTTGCAGGGACACAGCAGACGTGACATTGTGTATCCAACCACACTAGGGAGCCAGCAAGAAGATAAAGTATTTATTACTGGCACTGGCCCCTACTCCTTGGCATCTACTATGGTGGCTTGCTAAAGAGGTGTGCAGAGTGCTTCTTTTGCCCCTGCCTAGTTGGCAGGAACATCACTGAGCTATGGTATTTTGTTATTGATATCAGGTGAGCTTCACGCATACTAATGATGTTCCCTTTGAGGAGAATTAGAAAGGGGAACACATTTAATGCACAACAGAGGCATTTATCTAACCCTGCTAATTCTTCTGTGTCTGTGTCTGTGCTCTAATTACACGCCATCTGGCATTTCCCCTCACATCCCTCACACTCACTCGTGTTGATTGCTGCTGATATTCAAGTGAGGACTCATGCAAACTTTTCTGTGAAAGACAGTGAGAATGATGGTGAGCTAGTTAGCCGCGGAGCCGGGGGGCGGAGGTTTAAGAGGAGGAGGGGTATTCCATCTTCTCTGATAGTATGCTAGCCACACAGGCAGCCACACAGACTGACCAGCTCGGAGGCTCTGAACCTCCAAATGCTCCGTGATATCTAATGCTAATGTGTGGCCGTGAATGAGCCCTGGCTCCTTCCCCCTTAACAGGGGACATGAACAGCGACTAGCTCTTTGAGGCAGAGCTCCTTTCATGCATGCAGAATCAAGGTATGAAATGCAAAACCAAATCCGGAGAACTGAATAATACAGAAGAGTGATCACTACAGTGCTCTCTTTACTGATATATACTATTTGTTACTCATTTCAAAAGCAGAATGCAGCAAACAAAAGCAATGACTGTGCTCATGCTTGAATCATCTCTGTAATAAAAATCCACTGTCTCTTCTCAGTGTGCCAGAAAAATTTGCACCTTGATGAGCCATCTTACCACAGTTTTGTGACTTATCCTGGCCCTAAGGTATCTTATGATTCATGAATATGTTTCATAAATACATGCAACAACAGTGAGTACAGACTGGGAACAGACAAAGGCTAAGCCTTTGCAAGATGATGCTGGTGCAGGTCATGCTGACTAAGAGGTACAGAATCTGACAGGAAGGATTACTAATCAGCAACCTCATGGAGGCTCTGTGGCCATGTAGTCATTAAGTGCCTAAAAGTGAAACAACCTTGTGCCCCCACCATTTTTCTGCTATCAGACATCCCTTTCGCAAACAGAGCAAAAAGGTTGTTGAGGAATGCATCATGGAAATGTTTGTATCGGTGTTATCAGTAAGTTTGTAAGTCATTCTATTTTCTGAACTCATCTGTTTTCATCTTGGTGTGATGTAGGTGGTGGCTATAAGTTATCAAAAAATGCAAATATCCTATCCATGGGCTAAAGAAACCAAAACCTCGGCAAGATATATCAGCTTCTGCAAGTGGGTTATGATAAGACCCCCCCTGATTCTTGTGAGCTTTGACACTGTTGCTAATATACAGTATGCGTACACACTCATTAAAAATGAATACACACACTTACCACTGCTGCACCTCTTTCTCCGTAACTGTAAGAGAAATAAAGAACAACATTAGCTTAGAGAAAAACTTAATGGTTGTCCTGAAAAAGGCAACCTGTTGTTAGATAGAGCACATACTGTAGTGGCTCTGTTAATCATCTTGACTCAATCCTTTCTTACACATACTGTAGCTTCTGATTTGAATACAAATATTTAACAGTGTCAATGTACAATTATTGGAAAATAGCCATGTCTCATTGAGTGTAGACTTCACAGACTCTAGCATACTATCAGAGAAGATGGATCCTCATGTGCCCTGGATGGCTAGCATAAAAGGACATGTGGGAGTAAACCCCAGGGAGACACAAAAAAGACAAGCAAGGCTGACGAAATGAAGTTCAGGCACAGATTTAGGAAAGAGGACAGTTTAGGACTGTTATCATGCCCACACATGCACCATTATCTGCCAGTATCTAATCAACCAATTCCCTTTTGGGCTTCCCCTGTCTCTTTATTTTCTCGCAAGTAACCAAAGCAATTTTCAGCCTCTAAACCCCTGTGGTTACTAATGAAAAGACAAGATGAAAATCAATAGCATTAGTTTAACTAGCTGGTCCTTTGAGAGACTTTCTGTTGCTCCAAGTCTGAGGGGAAGTGCCATGTACTGGCACTTGTGTTGAGGCTGAGGCAAAGCAAAATGATTGCAAATACAACTAGCTAGTTAGTTAATCAATAGGTTCTTCTACTGTAATGTTTAACCTTGAACAATTCATTGTCAAAGTTACTACAAAGGTATACAACCAGGGAGACACACACTTGCCACAAACGAGACATTTTCTGGGCAAATCAGATTACCATTATGTAACAAACTCTCATTGCAGGAGACCGCTCATGGAATAGAAATGTATTTATTTTTTAAATAAACACTCCACCATGAGATTTATGCAATGTATACCATATACTATAATGCAGTGCTGGAGCGGAATCATAGGGAGGCTACAGATAAGGAGGCTGGGTAATGTAGCCCTCACTCACAAAAGACTCAACTTCAATTTGTTCCACTCAGCATTTCACCAAGAAACCCCTCAGGTGACCCTTTCCTGGGTAATAAATGTCAGGGTCAATCTCACGACTCTCAGCCAAGCCAACCTACCATTAAATTGGCTTCAAACGTCAATGTAGTCAAAAATTGAGGCAATTTACCATGGCTACAATTTAATTTCAAAAAATTTATTACATAACTCAGTCGGAGGCAATGGGCAATAATGCAGTCAGCCAACTGCAGGAGAGTGCAGGCCCCACTCAGCCAGTTAGCCCTGCAGGGTGTGGTACAACACATCTAGCTTGCACTCTATCACTGTGAGGCTCTTCATGGCTTTGACAACTTCCAAAACCATCATGAAGTTACATGGGCCTAGCCTGCATCCTGCACAAATTATAATATGATTACTGGTCTTTCCGTGTGATACAGTCATTTGGGTTCAATTAAGTTTGCCCAAAGTACAGGGAAGGCTGCAACAGTTTTCAGTAAAAACAGGAAAAATGATGGCTAGCTGGTACTTTTGCACAGCTTAATGTTGTCTTTAGCAAGGAAAGTGTTCTACTGAAAATATAAGGACATACAAATTTTCTTAGAAAGATGCCTGCATTTTTAAACCTGTGACAAAGCAGAAAATAACATTCACTTGAGCAAAACAAACAAACTAAACAGAACGTTTTGGCCTGCCATTATTGGTTGTCTGTAAATACAAATATATACATACATACACACACAGACACTTCTACTACTGAAACTAAAAGACATATACTGCAGGCACAGACCATTTTACTAAATCCCAAATCTGTCAGAAATCAAAAGAATGCAGTGATTAAAATGGCAGACAAGGTTTCTCAAGGGAGACCAAGAGAAAGAGGCAACAGGGTGAAGGGAAGCATAAATGAGTCTCAAGTCAAGCAACAACAGAAAAAGGGAGAATGATCAGGCTGGGAGAGAAAGCTTGGTGCCCCTCTCAGCGATGCTAACCAGATAAGCTCCTAATTATACTATTCCATTCCTTGCTCAAAGAGGGCAATTAGTGGATAGAGCAAGAGAGACAGGGTGAAAGAGTAAGTAAGAAAGAGAAAGAGAGAGAGGGAGTGAGTAGAGGACAGCAGCAAGCAGCTCAGCCCAGCATGAAGCCCAATCTTCCTCCACAGCAATTTCCTGCCACAACAGCCTTCCTTGGTTTTGCTGTGGAAAGACCCACCAAACAAATAACACTGTCATTAAGCAGCCAATGGACGTCAACTCCCACCCACACCTGCACGCTGTACTGCTGAAATAATAATAATAATAATAATAACAGCGCCGTGCTCCAGAAATAACACACAAATGATTAATATGGTGTCTTCCGAGCAGACGTCATTGTGATAACTGTAAATTTGATCTCTGGTCAAACTGTGAGGGGGTGGATCAGAAGGAGATCATCAGCGCCTAAGTAGTTAGTGACTGTAAGGTGAGAAAAGTGAATGCTGTTAATCTGCAATGTCCTAAAAGTTGACAGGAATAACATGTACAAATAACGTTGTAGACAGGTTTAAGAATCGGGTCATTTCCTCCTGTGAGCCAACATTTCTGTGAGTCTCAATGCAGGAATCCCATTTAAAATTACAGCATGTAAATGCACTGAATAAATGAATGTACACACTAAAAATATTTACATATACAAAGGGTCCAAATAGCATATAAAACCACATCCTCATCTCTAAAACTCGCAGCTGATGCAAACTCAGCATCTCCATTTTCATAAATCCCTTCAGCGTGATTTAAAGATGCTGATTACAACTTTGTGCTAGACCTTTACCAATTACAATTTTCATTTAAATGTAAATTTAAATCAAAGAGGGAGCTTATCCCTAGCTGACATTTAGTTGGGGGGGCTGTTCTGTCGATAATGAGAAACTGGTGTAGACCCCACTACAGGCCAGCAATCAGGGCTATTTACTGTAAAGACTATGGGTGGACTATGACAGTGGGAGGAAAATGTGATTTGAAAACTGCAGCAATAATATTCGTGTTACATATTCCTATCAAATTGTGTATACTGTTTAACCTGTGGCCAGAATGTTTCTAAATTCTTAGAGAAGGTAGCTGAAAAGAGGTTGGCAGGATTTCCTTTCTAATAATAAGCAAACAAGACCTGAAGGTACTCACAGTAGGTTTTCCTTGTCAACTCCTCCACTACTTCTGGCTTGAGCTTGCTGTTTGATTTGCCCATGATCTTCAGCTCTCCTCCACACCGCCAAATCCACCGCAGCACGCTGCACTTGTTACTACCTCCCCTCCAGTCTGCTCCTCTGTCAAAAACATACAGCAAACGTGGGGCAGTTTAGGTGCAATAGCACTGGAGAAATAACAAAAACATGCTTTTGTTTTGGTTTAGAGGGGGGAAAAAGTCCCATTCAAACTAAACGAATCTATCGTTCAGTATGGTTCATTCTAGTTGTGGTCATGATCTGTTTAGTCATCAACCCTGGCACTCCAAACAGAAAAATCAAATCCCAGGGGCCCTGTGAAGAGGGGCCAGTAGGTTGCTGAGTCTATATGAGCACTGCCAAGTGCCTGTGTGTCCACCTCATTTCTTCACAGCAGTCCGTGGGCGAAGGAAGAGTGGCGTTTGGATGCGTTGCTACCTTCGTCCTTGGCTTACAAGAGTCACTCAGTGGCTGGGTTAAGCAGGCTCACTCCCTCACAGTCGTTCTCTGTTCTTCTCACTCCTCCCACCTCTCCTCTCCCACCACTCTCTCTATTTCTCTGGGTAAGTTACTGTAGAAAAGGATCCTCCCTGTTAACAGCTGAGCTAAAATACAATGAACAGAGCTTGCCTTGGATGCACCCCACTGCACTTTGCACTTGCTCAAAGTATTAACTCTAATCTCAGGAATGTTTGCAGTCATGACAAGAAAAATCTAATGGTTTCAGTAATAATTACTGGAATGCAATAAAAAAGCCAGGTGTCTACACAGTTCGACAGTTATAGATGCCAGCTGTACGGTGGAAAAAAAAATCTGGTCTTGCTCTTAAAATAGGCGTGAGCTGTCTACCAAAACAAGCACAAGCTTATAGGTGGATCTGAAGAGTGACAGTTTTCTTTTCTCCTCTGTTCTGACTCATAATTTGCCCTCCTTCCTGGTCTCACAACAGCATAGTATGGTGATTTCCTCCTCTCTGTCACAGCAGAGAGAAGAAGAGGATTAATGGAATTTCTTTGTACCACAGCGTCAGCATACACTGATGCCTAACACAGCTAGAGTCTGAGCAACAGAATAGAAAACTACAGCATGCACTGAACACCTACACTGCAAACATCTGCTCCCTTTGTCCATGACCAGTGATGTCCTTCTGAGGGACGCCACGCTGGTAATCACCAACTTGTGTTTGCTCAAGCCTTGTGGTCCTGGGTTGTACTTAGGCACTATGAAAATAAAAAGACAGCAGTTACAAAGGGAATGACAAGCATCTGCTGTGTTTTAGTGGAAATGGACTGTGGTGTGGTCTAAAGAGCCACATACAACACTTGACTTGACAGCACTTGACTGCAAAAACACAGAACAGTAACCTTTCTGTTGTTTGCCAAAAGCTACTCAATCTAGCCAACAGGCAAGAAGAGTGTTGGTAATGTAAGTGCTGAGGTTAGTATTTAAGTAAACTGCTTTAAATTACCACAGTTTAAATGACAAGCAAATTAACTGCATCTTCAAGTGCATTCAAGTCTTACGTGGCTATATTTGGGTACAACTAATAAACACACAAAGCTAATTCATAGCCTAAGAAACGAATGAGTAAATTAACACAAAATCAGGTGAAAATAAAAGAGCGTGTTGTTTCCCAGTAGTGATATATGTTTTGGTTGACAGGGCTTAGAAATGCATACATCGATAGCAGCAGGTGGGATGTTGCCTGGCAGTACCATAGCAACACACAGTTTATGGCGACAGTGCGGGAAGCTTGCTAGCGTTAATCGTTGTACTAGACACGCTTGGTACCCACGCTGTTTCTCGTAGCTAATTGGCTAAGAAAACACACCCAAAACGCACATTAAAAATAATAAAAGCTCTTCAGTGTAAACAGAGTTTGGGGTTTACCTCAGCTACAGACGCGTAAAGTCGCTGTACAAGAAGTCAGTCTGTAAGCAGCGAGCTTTTGTCCAGCGTTGTTGTCCTCCGCCGAGTTCCGGAGCGAGCGGCTCGCTGCTGGGCTGATGGACGTCCGTGCGGCTCCGAAGCCGCCGTCAGGGAGTGACGTTGCTGCTGGCCCCGACCTACTCAGTTCAATCAGTGGCAGAGAGACACTGACGTCGCCTTGCCGACTGGTCACACACTGATTCCTTGTATGCTCTGAGCCTTTACACGTGTCATGTCACGTACAGTTAGGAGTTAGTCTGCTCAGACTCACTTTTTGACCCATATTCTGGATACCGCGGGTTTTGGTTACTCTTTGTAAAACTTGCAAAGCTATTCCACTGTATATTTTTTATGCCCTGCTTTAACTGAAAGATAACACTGTTAGTTAGCTATAATGACTGAGATAGTACTTCGAATGGGGGTGAATAGCTCATAAATAATGGCCTTTTCATTATATTTAACGTTACTATATCTTTTTTATTGGCTAACCACTGCACCAGTGTGTAGCTTGGTTTCCAAACTGTATTATTCTTATGTGATGTGTCTAGGACTGTATTAATGAAATAAATGTCCAAACTCATAATACACGTGTAGTTAAAATGCAGTAGGCTATAACACTGAAATTAAGATAGAGGCTAATATTTAGGTTATATTTATTGCTGAGAAGAAAGGGGCCCTGTGATATCTTGGCAATACATTGTTATTACGTTAGGGGACTCATAAGAAATGTAGACTGACACAATGTTAACAGTTAAAGCAGAGGCCAAGATACCCTGACTTTATCTGTCTTTAGCAAGGGTCAAGCACTAAAACACTACCATTCCCATGATGCAACTCAACACTGTTTTGTTAGACCATGTATGGTAAATAACCAGATCTGTCAAAGTCCACCACCAAGGTCTTAGCACAGACTTTATGATAAAAATGTGAATGACATGACAAGTTATTTAATCAGATTTTAAAACGCTTCCTTCAAAGCCACAAAATTTCTAAATTACAAGTAAACACATTGTCATGTCTAAGATTTAAGTATGTCTTTTAAGTGTTTTGTCTCACTTCAAAGTTTGAAGCCATACAGTAGTTGTTTTTGAAGCTAGTGTGCCAAAGATTTGTAAGGTCTCTTAAGTCTTAGACTAGAATACAAGACTAAACCCTTTAGGGTTGGATGTCAAATTGAACAAGCAGCAAAAGCCTGCAAAATTCAGGTCAAGTCTGTCCAAACTTGGCCTACTTTAATTATTGATTTGGAAAACAGCTGAGAAACAGTGGAATATGGGGGATGAGGGAAAAATATTTCACATATACTACCATCTTTTCTAAAGGAGAAGGAAAGAAAATCAACTTGGTTTGAAGTAAAAGATCACTGTTCTGCAGTCTTTACATATATTATGGTTGCTTTTTGGCTACATGAAGGATGCAAGGACAAGTCATTTTTCCCTCGAGTCTTTATTTATCACATTTGTTATATATGCTTGTTACTCACGCTACTCATGCTTGAGTTCAAACCTTGCAGTTAGGGCTTTCTATGTGCAGCTTATTAATATTCAGCTCCCATCAGCAGCATGCCAACAGATGTTCAGTCATAGGAGTTGTCCATTAACAACTGCTACAGCATCATTCTATAGCCTGATAGGAGCCTTCTTGTCATTTGAGATGGATATATGTGGCTGTCTGACTTGGCCAGCTTAGTATTCAGTTCCCTTCTCTGCAGTTCCTTATTGCAGGCAACTGCAGTTACAGTAAGGTCATAGGAGGGAACAAGGCTATGCACAAGCAACAGAGGACAAAGCAAAAGGAAGACAATTTAGTCCAATATAAGGCATAAATTAAAGCTGTTTTTTGATACCAAGTTTTTTTTATTAGTATTACCTCAAAATATAATTTATACAAACTTTGTTTACAGCTGTACTGCTGATAAAAGTCACAGGGGGAAATGCAACAGATGTTAAGTTAGCCCTCTCTTATGTATCGTAAAAACGGTGTTTCTAACCATCCAGACTGAAATATATCACAGTTGCATCTAAATACCATTCTTCTTTCTAGTGTCTGATAATCATTTACATTAGAAAGTGTGGAATTTCCTTTGCAGACTAATGTAAACTATCAAACACTGAAAATAGCTGATACAGTATATTCATCAACAGTGCAGGGGCATCATTAGATACCCCTGTGGTGTCTTTGCATCGCGTGGTAATGATGACACGTGCTAAAACAGCTGGAGGACTACTGGAGGTAATCCACTGGCTGGAAAATTTCCTTATATTCTGTAATGCTGCTGAGTTTCAGCAGCCTCAGTACCGAATTACAAGTTGAGAAGTTGTCATTTTGGAACTGATAAGTATACCATCAACACAATATTTGTCTTAATTAGCAAAGAAAACACAAGAACATATTAAAAACTCTATGGGCAGGAGGAAATATACTAGAGTTTACTGATTTTCTAATATCACAATTTAAAAACAGAGTCACTCCTACATAAAGAAAACACATAATGAATGAAAGAAACATCCATGTATTTGAAAAACAGATACTGTGAGGCAGTTTGGTGGTTGTTTTTACATATATATGGCTGTAACTTTAAATCAACATCAGACCTATCTCTCTGGCAGTTTTATAAATAGCTAGTACAGTACTTAACTTTGAACAGAAACACAGCTTAAGGGGGTCAGACATGAAAAGTGAGCTAGATATAACCAAAGTGACAATTGATAAGGTCCATCCTTGTGATTTTCTTTCAAAAAAGTTAAATTCTAGCATCAATGGATGGAGTTCAGATGATAGGTCATCATAAAAAAGGAAGGCAAACCTTTATAGTTTCTTGCACACATGAATCTTTCACAGCACTGAGACAGATGGAGGGAATGACAGAGAGCAGCAGATGAACAAGAATCCTTTCATCTACAAGCCTGAGCTACTCTACATAAATGCATCTCAAAATGAAATGCTGAGAGGTTGGGCTTTGCAATACAAAGTCTAGTTAAGCAAATATCTTTCCAAAAAGGTTGTAAAAAGCAGCATCCACTTGGGGGGTTGGATGATATTGATAGCTTTTTACAATAAAATTGAAAGAAATGGGACAGCATGAATACAGTTTTATCTATCAAACAGAATACTAGAGATCACCAGTTTTCTGTGTTTAGCTTCATTCAGCTTCCTCCTTGTCTGCAACCAAACAACACTTCCTGAGGCATCATTTGTTATGCCAACTTCAGTATTCCATATGGCTAGATATATAATTTATGACCTGATAAACATACTGTCCTTACCCTCCTCTGAGTAGACATGGGCATGAGCATCTAGCAACACTTTCCACAATCTGTTGTGCTTAGTAAATCCAGCTGGACACTGAGGTTTTAGTGGAGTGTCTACAGTGGTGTAGATTAGATTAGATTCAACTTTATTGTCATTACCCATGTACAAGTACAAGGCAACAAAACACAGTTCAGCATCTCGTACTGCTGTTAATTCAGATGAACAAAAAGCAGCTATCTGACAGATGATAGCAGATGGGGCTTGAATCCTAGCTTTATGGAGACAAATTGTAATGCCTCAGAAAGGTGGATGGGGTGGGGGAGGGTCAAACACTTTCTGTGGTATTGTGAAACATCGTAGAGTTTATCTGAAATGTTGAATCCATTCTGGCTATTTCTGGACATCTGCATCATTATCATAGTAGGAGGAAATGTAGCCTATTATGCAATAAAATGAATTCACAAAGCAAGGCAGCACAATGTCAGAGGTTTGATGCAAGCCTAGTTTTACTGTATTTTTAATCATCATAGAAAGTAATATATCCTTATGTTTTATTTAAAATTATGTCCTTGCCACATAATTATAAACAAACAAATAAAAATACTAGGCCTACTAATAGTTGTATCTACTGAGTAAAGTCATTCATCTGGTCCAAATAAAGTAGTAAAGGGGGGAAATAATTCAAAATATAATATATAAAATTAGTATTATTAAGACCTACTGAATTCTAGCTTTAATGCCTTCCAAATAAACAATTAGGTTTTATATCTGTCCTGAATATAAGGGATGTTATTTTGTTTTGAGGAGGAGTGTGTGCATGCTCCTGTTCTCTCCCACTTTCTTTGTCCATCCACAGGATCGTGTCTGCCCTCTAATGGCTATCATAGGCAACTACAACTCGCAATTATTTATGATAATAAGGACGAATTCAGCAGTAATTTGCAGCTGTGAATTGCCTAATTATAAATTTGGTTGGGTGCCAAAAGGTGGATTTTATGTACTAAATAAAGCTTGCAGGTGCCATCACTGATTCTCTCATCATTAAAAAGTCTTCATAGCTCAGTGACGGGAGGTGAGCATTGACACAAATTAGTCATAGCAGATTAAAAAAAAAAACTACCAAAAAACTAATGAGAGCCGTCCCCTTGGTCCCACTGTTGCAAAAATCTAGGCAAATGACTTGTGTCACTCATCTACTTTGCCCCTGCTGTTTACATAAAGTCATGTTACTCGTACCCTCTTGGCTGGGCTCTGTCCTGCCATAGTAGGAGGATCACATATTGTCCTCGTGTTAAAGCAAAGCAAGCTGAGGCACAGGAAGAGGGGAAACATGGTTTTTACGTCTCTGCTCTGTCTGCTGTTGCTGCGACCTGTCTTCAACACTCTAATGAGATCTCCATTGGAAGGGGTAGGTGGAAAGCTGCAGGTGAAAAAAGGAGTGCTGCGGTTAGCGGTTGCATTGCTCTGAACTTCTGCAAAGTACATTGAACTCTTCAACTTCAAACTGTTTATTGTCCTGTGAAAACTTGCAACCTGAGAGTCATAACTGTGTTTTACTGAATTTAAATGATGATCATTAAAACAAATAAATGCCTTATAATATTCTTTGTATTTTCATTCTCTGTTTGGGGCATGGCGTTCAAAAGAGTTACACAGGTTTAAAGCTGCTGTTTCTAAAGGGGCTAAATGTTGTTTGTTCCTTCCAAAAGCTTTTTCAACACTTCTCTAGTGAAAGAGATATCGCTCCCTCTCCTGATGCCTCTGGTATGTGTTTCTATGGCAGCATGAAGACAGTGTATCATGCATGTTATATTTTAAGTTCAGCTATATGAGCCTTTATCTAGAACAAAGGAACTATACACATAAATAATTACTAGTATATGTTTTGACTTTTATCTTTGTAAGCAGTAAATGGACAGCTGCATCGATCAGCTAAATTGCCTGATATCACACATCTGGAATTGCTGGTAGTCGTAGGACCTGATGTCCAGCAGGTCCACAAGCAGGACACAGAAAGATACATCCTCACCAACCTCAATATTGTAAGTCTGAGCACCAGTATACGGTAGGAAAAAAATGGTTGTCTAAGCAGCCTAGGTTCATCCCAAAATATATTAAAATGACTCATACACCAATTTCCACCCAGGCCTCAGAGCTGTTGAGAGACATAACCCTGGGTGCCAACATGCGGGTGCACCTGGTCCGCATGGTCATCCTGTCAGAGCCAGAGGTAAGTGCCTCCCTGCCATATCTTGAGTCAGTTCAGTTAATGCAGCGATCCAAAATCCATATGTCTTCTGTAGTTCTAACGTTCATAGGTATTGATAATGCTGTTATCAAGAGTGACTTTGACTGTGTGTAACATTATTTTTGGTTTTATTAGCAGTGTCTTTCCTTTTTTTGTTATGTTCCCTCTTCTAGCCAGAGATCCAGCTGTCTACCAACATCACCTCTTCTCTTAGAAGTGTGTGTGACTGGGGCAGAAGGATCAACCCCTCCAATGACACAGACCCATTACATGCTGATCTCCTGTTGTACATTACAAGGTATGTTGCCTTGCCAAGGTATCTGGATACGTTCTATCCAGATGTTTAATATTTTATGATGAACAAACTGTGTATTACTCTAATGCCTCCCATCACAAACAGGTACGACCTGGTGTTGCCTGATGGAAACAAGCAGGTGAGGGGAGTAGCACAGCTGGGTGGGGCTTGCTCCAGTGAATGGAGCTGTGTAATTACTGAGGACACAGGCTTTGACCTGGGGATCACCATTGCTCATGAAATTGGCCATAGGTAAAACAGATTCAGTTACTAACACATATTATGTTATACAAAAATCTGTTTGCATTGCAACTTCTAAAACATATTAGTGGTTTCTGTTTTGGGGGGGTCTGTTACTCCATACTTCATTTCACCCAGTTTTGGAATCAACCATGATGGAGTGCAAAACACTTGCAGCAGGAGTGGGTTCATGATGGCCTCTGATGGGGGCTACAACAGTGTGGATCTGACCTGGTCCCCCTGCAGCAGACAGCAGCTGCTCACATTCTTCAGGTGGGCCAACCTGTTCAGAGCAGCTGTGCACGAAAATGTCTCTCATTCATCATGCAGCTGTGACAGTGTTGAATGGGGATTTCATCTATCTAAGTCACATCTTAAAAATTTCACATTAGCTTAGTGGAACTGAGTTCACATTTTGAGAGAGGTTGATGTATTTTTTAAACTCTTTAGAAGCCTTTCACAAAATAAATATGGAAAACCTAATTATCTCAATGTGATAAACTGCAGGTAGTTTACACGTGAGGTACAAATCTGCTGTAGTCTGGACTGGGGAATAAGATGTCACATGAACTGTTGTTCCTAGTGAAGCGAAAGCTGAATGTGTAAAAGACCTGCCTGCGATGGAAGGCTCCCTGCAAGACTGGAAGCCTGGTCTGTACTATGGAGTTGATGACCAGTGTCGAATAGCTTTTGGTAGCACCGCTAGAGCCTGTTCTTTCACCAATCCTGATCTGGTATGTCACCAGTAATAGCAGCCTGATGCCACCTGGTAGCATTTCACATCAAAAAACAGTTATACCAAACTCCTCGTCATGTTTTTAATATTGTTTTACTTCCCATTAGCCCCTTTGTCGTGTTCTGTCCTGTCACATTAAACCTGATGATAACAGCTCCTGCAAACGTCTCCTAGTTCCACTGCTGGATGGGACAGAGTGTGCACCTAATCAGGTACTGCCCAGTGATTAGCAAGTCATTTCGGTGCAATCATGCTCACAGGTGTCAATATTTACCAAAAGTAGGTCCAATCATGTTTTTCATGAGGTGTAAACGTCTCTTGCAGTGGTGTCTGAAGGGGCGTTGTGTGTCCCCAGATGAGCTCAGTTCCTCTGTTGTGGTGCATGGCTCCTGGTCCAGTTGGTCTGAGTTCTCCCTCTGCTCACGAACATGTGGTGGGGGCGTCACTCACCGCACCCGGCAATGCAACAATCCCAGGTATCAAATGCGATGCAAGCATCAGTCAAACACATTGCGGAAGATCTCCCAAAATCATTATTGACAGCACTTATCTTGTAACTGTCACACCTCATTTGTAGACCTTCTTTTGGAGGGAATGACTGTGAGGGTCTGGATATCAAAGCTGAACTTTGTCACCAGCAGGTAAGTTCTTACTGGCTATGTTTACAGTCGGTACCCATGCAATAGGTCAGTACTATTTACTGAGTGGATCATTCTATCCACAACTGTCCCACATTTTAATGATCCTTTGGTAGTAGCTTGCAGCCTGTGCTCCTCAGCAGCTTAAGCACTGATGGAACGACTCAAGGAGTGAATTACGGGCAAAGAAGCCATTTAAACGTGAGAGCATGAGCTGGGGGCAGAGTGAACAATTCTCAAAATCAATTTTAGATAAGGAGAGATGTTCTGCCCTGAATGCCTAATGGTTTAGGATTTAAAGCGCAAACCTGTCAGTGGCAGATTCAGACATGATCATCAGGCCATAAAAGTTTTTTTAATTCAGTCCTTGTTTTTCTTGCCACCTTGTTGTTGTAGCCATGTGAGCACACCCAGATGGATTTTATGGCAGAGCAGTGTTCCCAAACAGACCTTCACCCGCTCTACTTACAACCACACACTCCTTCTTTCTACACATGGATCCCTGCTGTAGGCTTCACACAAGGTGGGCCTAAGGAAAAGTGGAATGTTTTTCACATACTAAATCTACATCTCTAAAACTTCTGCAAACTGTTCTTATTACAACCAGGAGATGAACAGTGCAGATATATATGCCAGACAGATGGAGAAAACTTCATAGTGAGCCGTGGCTCTCAGTTCGTGGATGGCACTCGCTGTGAGTCAGACACTGTGACTCCCTTTGGTGCTACAGCTGCCTGTCTAAAAGGAAAATGCCAGGTAGAGATGACTAAATATGCCAGAGAGCAGATGCAATCTTATGCTTTCCCACATTTTTTAACACTCAGTCTTACACATTTTTAAATTTACTGTTTGTCCCTGATCAGCTGTTTGGCTGTGATGGTGTGCTGCATTCTGGGAAACTGAAGGATGTGTGTGGAGTGTGTGGTGGAGACGGATCGTCCTGCAGTTTGAACTCTGACTCCTACACTGGTGGCCAGACCAGAGGTAGCAAACAACGGTGTAGAATTATTGAACACATTCAGTGATAGAACATGAACAATTTTAATAATTGATCAGTCGTCTTTAAGTAACTTATTATGCAAAAGTATCAAACATTATCTGACTCCTGCTTCTCAAATGTGATAATTTACTTTTTATAAGACTGTAAATTGAGATTTAGCCTGTCAGACAAAAGATTTATTCTTGACATTTGGGATCATGATGAGCACTTCTCACTATTTTCTGACTTTTTTTTATTTTACAAAATACTTACTAAAAATGATCAAAAAAGATTAATTAGTAATGACTGCAACCTGTAGTGTCTGCTTGTTATTCAATCATTTCTGTTTCAGAGTACACCACCTTCCTCTCTCTGCCAGTGAATGCTACACAAGTTCATATTGTCAACAGGGCACCTCTCTTCACTCATATGGGTGTGTGCTATTACTTAATAAGAGTTTCCATTTCTGCAGTTCTTGTAAGAGGGTTAAAGCATGGAGTTGTTTTTGATATGTGCGTCCGCAGCTGTAATGGTTGGGGATCAGTACATTGTGTCCGGGATGGGCAGTATGGCACTGAATATGACTCACCCCTCCCCACTGGATGATAACGGCCTTGAGTACCGGCTCCACCTGACCCCTGACCTCTTGCCAGAGATGGAGGAGCTGCTACTGCCTGGACCACTGCAAGAGGAGATACACATACAGGTCAGGAGAGAAGGAGTAGCTAACGAACCACTTCAGGGTTCACATATACAGATAATGAAAACAATGTTAAAGAAATATTCAGGAGAAATGAATTGGAGACTCGTGTGTACAACTTCTGACATTTACAACTGTTTTCCTTTGCAGGTCTATCGCAGATATGGAAAAGAATATGGAGAGAAAACAAATCCTAACATTAGTTACGAGTTCTATGTACCTACCAGAAACAGAGATATGACAGACACACCTAAAGGCAACTGGGTCGTCTTTACAACACCCTGCTCTGTCTCCTGTGGATCAGGTAAGTTACCGTTAGTCACAAAACACACTGAAAAGTATATAAAAAAAAACTGCTTACTGTTATGTTTCCTATCCTTCCCTTATAAATTCAAAGACTGTGCATTATTCCTGTAGCTTTTCTCTTTTAGAAGACAATGGCTTTGACTACTGAGATCCAAAGACTGTTTGTTTTGTATCCACATGCTGTTCCTGTATCAATCTCAACTACAGCTTAAACCCATACAAGTATTATTTGGACAGTTGCAATAGTCTTGTAAAACCTTCTGCCATTAATGAATGTAATAAAGCCATGCACAAGGTTGTCAAATGTGAAATGTAACAAACTGCCCCACATCACAGGCAAAATCATGGATAATTTTGTTGAACATGTTCCTAAAGTTAGTTGTTCTTTTTATACATATTATGTCATATTGCAGGTATACAGAAGCATGTATATGTGTGTGTAGATGAAGACACTAACAACCATTTGGAGGAACACAACTGTGAAACAGCTCCTCCAGCCATACCACTGCACACAACCTGTCAGCTCTCCCCCTGTCCCCCCAGGTTAGCTTCACACTCAACTCTGTTCTTTTCCTTTAGGACTGACATAGACATACAGCTGAACATGAATTATTCACTGTTTTACAGGTGGGACACTGGGAAATTTGGGCCTTGTAGTGCATCCTGTGGCGGAGGAGAGAGAGTGCGCCCTGTAACATGCGTTCAGAAACATGGAGCCATCGTGGTAAAAGTTCCTAGTTCTGAATGCCCACCTGATACAGCTCCAAACGTTGTTGAAAAATGCAACCTACAACACTGTCCTGCAAGGTATAGGGTCTACAGTACACTGTTACTCATTAGGTGTATTAATTAAATAGTGTGCATAGGTCAAAAAACATCCTGTGACCACAGAAGATTTTTAGCATCATCTTGCTCCCTTTAACAATAACAGTATTAGAAATTATTAAATAAATAGAGTTTCTGTCTCCACTTATGTGTGTTCACAGGTGGCGTATATCAGAGCCAGCTAAATGTTCAGCAGTGTGTGGACCAGGAGAAGCAAAGCAAACCGTGTTGTGTGTCCGGCCAGAAAATGGACAGGACGTTGAAGTGGATCAGAGCTTCTGTTCAAAGCAAACACGACCACCTGATTCAGTGCCCTGTGTGGTAGATGTCTGCCCCATTGGATGGGAATCTAAGGGAGAGGTAAAGTAGAAAATAACTCAAATCTAACTTTCATTTCAAAATGTGAAACCTGTCTAAGCATTGGTTTTCTTGACCAGGACCAACCCCAGCTAAAGTCTGGTTTGTTGCCAAACACTAGACAAGCTCCTGTGTATGTGTGGAGCCCTGTTATCAGCCAGTGCTCAAAAACCTGTGGCAATGGTAAGTGAAAAAATATACTCACCTGATCTCAAGAGCTACATAGGATATCCTCACAAGATAAAGTCAACCAAGGCTTGATGCTTACACAGGAACCCTGCAGGTGTGGTTTTCCTGTGTGGACCACCAGACGAGACTGGGGGTGCCCGACTTCCACTGTGATGCTTCTACCAAACCCTCTTTCCAATCTGAGACCTGCAACACATCTCCCTGCTCTCCTGTGTGAGGCACCAAAGTGTTTGTATCATATTTTGTAGTATATATATAGTTTTGGGGAATGATAGCAATGTTGTTGGGAATAATGATTCAAAAAACTGAGAGCAGAATTTTTTTTTAAAACCAGGTGGCGCTCTAAGCAAGGAGTCTGCAGTGTAACTTGTGGAGGAGGGGTGGCCAACAGGGTGCTGTACTGTGCTCAAGAAACAGAAGGGGAGGAGGAGGTGGTAGAGGATTCAGAGTGCAGTGGCTTTCCTAAGCCCGCTGTAGTGGTGTCATGTAACACTCACAGCTGCCCAGCAAAGTACATCACACACATACATACACAAAGCTGAGGATTTTTAAAAAAAAGTAAGATCATCTCACTACCACTGTCACTTGTCCAGGTGGAAGGTTCTGAGAACATCACCCTGCTCTGTGTCCTGTGATTTGGGTGTGGCTCAGAGACTTGTGTCTTGTGTCCAGTATGTCCATGGCAAAGAGAGCATGGTCCCAGAGGAAAACTGCCGCACAACTGTGAAACCAGCCACCACAGTGCCCTGCCTGGCCCAAGTCTGCACCTTCAGGTGGGAGGTGACACCATGGAGCCAGGTACATTTCACAGCAGACAAATGGACTGGAATATGAAGATTACATCCGATCAGATTAAAGGTGAAACAATTAGCTGATTCAATGTTTAGCTGAGTGACAGAAAATGATATAGCTATTTTAATTTCTTTTTTGGACAACAATTTTTCAAACACAAATGTCAATCATTCCAGCATTTCAGTGTTACACTGAACATCAAGTCTACCTTCGTTTTTGCCCATTGCTGTGAGGTAATGCTGGAGTGGCCCCTTCAGGAACCGTTTTAACCCAACACCAAAAGGACTCTGAACTCCTTCTTGTTTCCACTTGAAAACTGTTTGTGTGATATGCAGTTTTCATGTCTGCTTATGCATAATGTTGCTGACATTGTGTTGTGTTGTCAGTGTTCAGTACCCTGTGAATATGGGATCCAGTCCAGAGCTGTGTCCTGCATGGGCCCCTCTAAGCCAGAGCCCCTCAGCCCACTGTTTTGTATGCACATACCCAAACCTATCACCATCCAGGGCTGCTACATGGGCGGCTGCATGCACACATCAGATGCCACCACTAACACCACTACTGTAGCGCATACTGAAGTGAAAGCTAACCTCACAGAGGAGGGACCTGTCCTGTCTCCCAGTATGGGTCAAAAAGATAGGCCACATCTCCACAAGAGCCGTCTTTCTCCAAGTCTAACACAGACGCTAACCATCCCACAGAGCACCACAACAGTGAACCCAACACCTAAACCCAGTTAGTACATACAAACACTATGCACCTATTCTCAGTTGGAGCTGGAGGCAGCTGCAGGGTTGGCATTACAGTGTGTGCTCTCTTTCAGGTACATGTGGACAGCTACTACTTGAAGAATCAGGCGTGGTGGATTTGAAAGACATAACTGGCCGCTGCACAGTATCCATAGGACGACCTCTGGATGAGGTCATTCACATTAAAGTGGAATCTAGCTCCTTAAACTGCAGAAAGAGTAAGATTTATCAGATATGTACAGGATGATATGTGATAGGCGCTATGACAGCTGCAGCTAAATAAATGTCTACAACTGTGCTCATGTATTCTTTCAGAGGAGTATGTGGCATTTTTTGATCGACTGGCATTCATAAGGAAGTGTGATTTGGCAGCAAGTAGTGAACTGACCACAAGAACCAACGTCCTGCTGGTGCGACAAAACCTGCTCACCCCTGGGAATGGGGTCGTTCTCACCTACAGTTCACAGAAAAATATGAAGAAGAGCCACCATCAGGGTAAGATGGTATGGTACAGTCACTGTGTACAGAGCTGGACTAATGAGTTGTACCTGATGAGTTGGACTAATGAGTAGGCCCAAAAAAGATTCTGTATGTTGTCTCAAAAGATGGGAAGATGATTAAAGAAAGAGGATCCAACTGTCAGTGATCTGAGCTCACTGTTGGAGCCTAATGCAATATAAAGGTTCAAACTGTATTAAGAAAGATGTGCAGGACTGTGCATATTTGCACAGTCAGATGTGATCTAGTACAAAAGTCTGGAAATTAATGCAGTGAAGCTCAAAACACAGTGAAACTTAACATGCACAATAATGACTGACTGGCGATACTGGCTGATCTCAACAAATGTTCAACATTTTGAGCTTAACATCTGTATGTAACAGTCATTGCTGGACAGTTGCACTGGACTACATCTGACTATACAGGTGTTTGTGACATTTTGTTTAACCCATACATTTACCAAAGATTAAATATACCTGGTCTTTGGCCCCCAGATTGTGACATTCAGCTCTTTTCCCCCCGCGGTGTGTTTGAAAATCCAACTACACCCAACACCAACCACACCTGTCGCGTGCTTATCAACGCCCCTCCCCTGGTGAAGATCAGAATCCAGGCCCTACACATAGGATTCAACAGCACCAATACCCAGTCTACATACATTACGGTGTGGAGCAGCTTCTTAACATGTGTTGTTGTTGTTTCAATTTCCTGCAAAAAAACTGCAAGTGTAATAATAAATATTACAAGATTTTGTTTTATGTGCCTTGCTCAGATCCGGGACATGGATGTCTTAAAGACCAACGTTTTTAAAGGCCATCAGCTGTTTTTGTGGCATTCCTCTGGAAATATGGCTGAGATTGAATTTCATGGAGACTACATGCATTCCAACGGGAGCTTCAGAGCCGAATATTCCTTTATGCGTCCATGATGCTAGGTGTTAAATAGTTTAGGGAAGTTTTGATCTATATGATTAACATTTCTTTAGTTTGCATTACTTACACTTTTGTAACAGCCATTAACTGCTATTCTGCTGAGTAGAAAGGCTTTACATAACTCTGTGCTAATTATTTTGATCTGAAATAAATAATAAACAAGCCAAGGGACTCTGAATCTTTAAGTCAAGTGAGGATAGTGTGGACCAGGAACTAGTTGAGTATAAAGAAAAAAATTTAGATTATACTCCAAACAGCAAATTATTTATTATTATAATAAATTATTATTCATTTAGCTTAACATAATATATTAAAATATAAAGTTTCCATCAAAAGCATTGCACTGACTGTCACATGTTCTTCTTCATACAACCCTTCGATAACCAGTCTTCACTCAGATCCAACACACTCAGCACATTGTGCACCTCTACCAGCGACTGGGGCCAGTTCAGTTCCAGCTCCCATGCAGCCCGTTGGGACACAAACATCATGCCAGGCTCCTGTAGGGGATCACTCCTCAGCTGTAGCTGTGTCTTCCAGGAGAGCCCTCATGTCCAACAGAGCATCCTCTACAGCCTGGGAAAACCTGGCAGCGTTCGTCTCCTCACAGCTGTTGAAGGCCGTCACGGCGATGTTGATGTGCTCATCCATGGGATTGTAACACACTCCATAGCCATCTGGCACCACTGGACCAAAGCACATCACACAGTCTGTCTTGGAGCCAACCTGGACACAGAGATGAGGACAAATATGCAAACAAACAAATAGGACAACAACAACAACAACAACAAAAAAACATTCAGTCGGTAATATTATATTGTTGGTTTTTTTTGATACAGATATACCTGGCTGGTGGAGAGATTATAATGCTGAGCCACAGCAAAAGAGGTATCCATGAATATCTCAGGCATGGAGGTCAGGTCTTCAATGCTCTGTAGCTTCAATCGAAGGAGGTGTCTGTCTATGGCTTGTCCATGAATTGCCTAAAAAACAAAAGTTCAGTGTGTAGGGCTGACTTTAATCAGATATCTTCAGGGAAAAAAATTATTTTGTTGAACTCCAGCTCTCACATTGTATGTGTTCTCCTTATGTGTCTTAATGGCCTCCTGCAGAAGTGCCAGCCTCTCTGTGTTCTGTTGACATTATTTACTGTTCAGTCAGACATCTTAAACTGTACATTTACTGTGAAACTCTAGGGGTTTAACAGTACCTGTTTCAATGGGTCTTGCATTGCCTGAACAAATTTTAACGAGTCTGTAGTAGTTGTACGGATTACATCTGTTCGCCCATATTTAAACATCCGTAACGATGCACTTTCATTGGTAGAGCAGCATGTATTATACATCCTAGAATTCAAAAACAGTGAACAAAAGATATATAATACATTTAATGTCTATGTGCAGCATAGTGTTCAACTACAAACAGGTTATTTCTTACCTGAAGTAGGCAAGCTGAAGAGCCATTTGCACAAAAGCATCTGGACTCAGCTTATGTTGCTTTGGCACATTTTTTCCAAAATGAGAAAACATAAGCACCTTCACATCTAAGTCATGCACCATTCTAATGAAAGCAAGAAAAGAGTGAGTGGTGCAAACTGTCTGGCATTTAGGCTAAGGTATTGAGAGTGATCAGGCTGTAACTGCACTTTGCATACATGTTCATATTTTGTTTGGCTTTCTCAATGTCTCTCTTGATCTCAGGTGTAATGTTAAAGCGCAGTTTCTGAGGCATGGGCAGGGGAATCATGGGGGAGCGGACTAGTTCAGATTTCTGCCTGTTGAGAAAACATCAAACAGTCAATTTAAGTTAATATGAAAACGGAGAAAACACTCATTAAAAAAACGGACTGAAACTTACATGTATTTAACAACGTGATCAATGAGATTCACAATGGGTGGTCCCTCAGCAGGTGCATGTTCATACACCAGTCCACATGTGCCGTCTTCACCAACAATGAACTGAGGATGATTTGCAAAGATATTCAAATTCTCAACCACTGTCACCAGAAAATATAAAACATTGTCAACTCAGGTCGCAAACTGACCTGTAATGTCTTATCAAACCAGCGGTTGCCGCTGTTCCAGCGAGCTCCACCACCATGTAGCATATGTGCAGCCACACGGCTCAGGTACCGCTCATCTGACAGCTGTGGCATCGGTGCATCCAAACAAACTGTGAAGATACTTTTCTGGATGGCCCGGACGGACTCCTTATTTGTCTTATCTGAGGACGGATAAGACAGCTTTAAACATCTGAAACATATTTTCTCTCAAAAATGCTTTGCTATTAAACAACAAATCTAACTGGTACAAAGTTTTTAGCCCTCCTCTGGTCACCCTTTATGAGGTTGTTATAGGCTTTTCCCCAGGTGTTGCGGTGCTGCGATGTCAGGATGCCAACAGGCTCCTTGTTACTCTGCAAAGAGGAGTTCCAGATCTTCTCCAGCTGCATGTAAATCTGGTCCACTGTCAGTGGGGTTCCGTCGCTGTTGTACACATCCAAGACAAAGAACTAGGGGGGAAATCCAGGTCAAGGTTATTGACCACTGCACCAATGACATTAACGTGATAAACTTAGGTTCTGTTGAAATGTCAAGCTAAAATACTGAGACATATAAGAAGGGAAAGAACAGCAGTGCCATCTACAGTACCTGGAAGTTGTGGACCACAGTGATGTGAGTGGGAGGTGTTTTCCCAGTGGCGTGATTTACAACAGTATCTCTCTTTGGATCAGGGATACGACAGGAGGACAGGATCTTGTAATACTGGTCCATACACAGTGGCTTCCCATACAGGTACTCTACAGGCAGGGTATCACTGTGACACAGTACGTCACATTAACCATTTGCTGTTTTGTAAACCAGCTGCACGTCATGTTGATAAGGACCTTTCTGCTATAACAGAATAATATTTGTTTATAGTTTCAGGTAAACTCACGTGTCAAGCATTTTCTTAAACTGCAAAACTCCTGTGATCAGTTTGGCAGCAAATCTGCAGGGGGAGACACAGCTGTGTTGTTATGAACCAAGTGCATATGAAGAGTCGCAGACAATATGAGATTCAATTACTACCTAGTAAATGGCAAATGGAGATATTCACAACTAAATGTCATTCCAGTGTCGGTACCCTGCACACCTAACACTCGACCACTGGCTTTATTGGAGTATTTTTCTACGGGGATACTGTATTCATGGGTCACAGCTGTAATAAAAAAGCAAGTGAGCAATTCTGTAAGCGGCCAGGGCGCTTTAACTAGCCAGCGTGTGAAGGGAAGCCTGTGCAAAGGTTGGATGAAACACTTTCAGTCTGCTTATAATTTGACACTTGAAGCTTGAAATGTACAGCACACATTAGAAGTACAGGTTTCCTTAGAGATCTGCTTGATCAAGTAACATCTTTACAGCTGTGGCTGGTCCTAGACATTGGTCTTGCTCTCTCACCTCATTTGTCCTTGGCAATCTCGGAAGTGCATGCGTGGCAACACAACCCCGGGGCTGGTGTACACTGCCACCGGCATACGGCAGTCTAGATAGGCTGACTGCATCCAACATTCTGACATCTACATAAACACAGCACTAGTCAGTCAGCAGAATATAGTACATTTGCATAAATTACTGCATATCATTGACTGTATAAACAGTGGACAGGAAGATAGTTCTCAGAAGTGAAGCCACCAGAGAATTGATTGCCCCCTGGTGGCTGGTTGCAGGAAAGATCATAAATCCCACCTCCTCTGTACTAGTGGATGGGAATGAGGCAAATTAAAAACTCAATAAATTTTGTCAGTAAGAATTTTGATAAGTATTCCTTGACAACCTTGGATTAAATGACTAAATTATAATGATAATTTTAGTTTTAAATGATTTAGAACAAAAACTATGGAGAACTCTTGGCTTAGAATACCATGATGGATAAAGAGAAGATGAAATCTTTGGCTCTGATGTGGCAAACAATCCTTCATCCAAATCCTTTCTGTGTCCATGCATCTTTCTCACTGGATGAGAATCTGTCCAGTGAGGCAGGTCTCTTATAGCCAGCCACCCGCTGGTGTCATGTTAGCAAGCATAAATACTTGCTTAAAGTCCAACAAAATGATGAGCGACATGGCAGCCTCATTTTCAGCTGTGGCCTAGCAGGTGGGAGGAAAGAGGAGAGATAATCTTTGGACACACTTTTCTTCTGAAAGTAAGATGGAATGTGTTGTCCAGAATGAGGATAGGCAGCCATGTAAATTCAAGATGGATGGAAAAAACGCCACCAGCTTGAAAAGACATGTGATGACACACCAAGGTAAATAATAATAATAATAAAAGGTAAATAATATTAGCCATCTATATAATGTTAGGAAAATATTATGTCTTAGTGACCGCTTTGCCTTTGAAAACAGCAATAATGATCCCAGAATGGAACTATCTCTCTGTGTCACCGGTTTTCACAAGCTAACGTTACTTAAAGTTAATGTTAGCCACTGCAGTCCTCTCAGTAGTAATGCTATATTTGCATTTACCATTAGTAGGGTTTAGGGTGCCTTAACCTAAACTATTAACTTAGCTTTCAAGCTGGCTCATATTTTAGCCCACCAAACTCTTGTCAGAGCAAGGTGAAGACATTGGGGACAGTGGAAAAAAAAAGAGGACAGAGTTTTCATTAAGCATGGCTGTTTACTTATAATGTATGAGGAGAATTAGCCTACTGCTGGCTTGCAGAAAATAAATATGGCCTGTAAAGTTAAAAATTATTGTGTGGGTTCATCCAGTTGCACTTCTTTATGTTGCATACCCAGAATACCCAGTTCATGTAATCTTTCACGCATCCTTCACAAAGTCCATAACAGTATCATGAAAGGTATAACCTGTGACTAAAATTTAAACTGAGTTCCTCCAATTAAATCTTTACTAAAACTAAGGTTAAAGAATGACTAAAATGTGATTGAAACAAACTACAGTTTTCAGGAAATAACTAAGACTAAAACAAAACTGAAAAATCCTCTCAAAATTAACAGACAGCATAAAATGGATGGCAGCTGCCATATTCCTGATGCTTAATTTCTGCATAGTGGAGGGAAGTGGTGATGCCGTGTCCATCATATATAGAGTCAATGCTGCATACAAAAATATAGCTCTAATCTGGATGTTTTGTTGTATTAGTTCCTAGCAAACTGTCTATAGTTTATTTATTATAGAGACATATTTAATTTCGGTCAAAGCTGTGTCCTCCCTGCTACATAAAAGATAAATAAAACAAATATCTACCCAGTTGTCTGTCTTCTGTGCCTGTCGCTCCAGGCCTTTTTGCAGTCTTTCCCCGACGCCACCCTTGAGGAACTCCTCCACCAGCTTCCTGGTGTGCTCCAGCTCCTCCTCGCTGACGATGGGCTCCAGAGCAGCCAGGTAGCGCTCACATGTCTGCTTCAGGGGTGGCACAGGCAGCTTGGGTAAACCCTCCTGGTGGACTAGGGACCTTTGTGGGATCTGTGTTACCAGTCTGACCAGACGACATGGCTTCACCATGCCTGGCCGCACCTAGGAGACACTGACTTGATAAGCACAAACTCTGTCCTCTTCCATGGAAAATAATGCAGGCAAAATATTTATTTACTGACATTTAATCTCACAAGTAACTAATCTCACTAGTTGAACCAGAAGATTCACTGGACTACAGAGGTGACTAAAGCTGCCTCACAAATCCAAGCATCAACAAGTACTTAATGTACTCAATCCAAGCCTCAAATAGTAAATGGCTCAATGCAAATGGCTTGAAGTAAGAACTGGATTCAGTGTTGTGAACATTTCAAAGGCATTGCCTACTTTACAGTTAGATTAATTGGTCTGTGGAAACTGACACCAAAACAAGCTAAGCTGTCCCACTGGTGTAGCCTCTGCCAGCTTATAAATAGAACAAAGCTGAACCTTTGACATGGTAGCAAAAACAAACACACATGGAACAAACATGTGCATGTTTGTGCTCACTGCTGGTCATCAATATCAAGCTGTTATCTGATATAGATAGGCTGCTGATAAGATCTGAAAATGCTTTTGCAATTAATAAGTATTAGATGTAATATGAAAGCTGATATAACAAGTTCACATTAATGAAGAGAAATTAAAGTCAAGCTTTTAGGAATATGATAAAGAACTTCCGGTAGACGTTTTCAAAATACAAAGAATTATGGTAACCGTATGCTGCAGTGTTGTTGTAGGAGTACTATTAGCAATACATGCCACAACAAATATATAAACAGTGACAATACAGAGGGTGAACTATGCAGTGGACAGACCTACGACTGTGTTTTCAGATATTCTTTTCTTGCAGCATGCGCATTAAGCTAACGGCTCTACATCCATGTTAACGTTACGCAGTATGTCACACTGGGTCTACAATAACAGGCCACCACAAACAAATAGCACACCAGACATTAGACTGCCTATGGTGGTTAAACACGAGTTACATTTTAACCTAATATCGTCACACTGTCGCCCCACCCCCCTTCACTCAGCCGGGTGCCATAAAGCCAAGCGCAATGTTACCGCGTTTGCTATTACGCACTTAAAAATATATGTAAAAGCAACAGACTCACCACGGCTCTGACAAAAACACCCAACATCTTTGTCAGACAGGCACACTAAAGCCTTTGACTATCCCAGGAATATAGACGGGAAACCCTCGGGCAGTCATGTCTCAAGGACAACCTATTCTCAACTGTCCACCCTCCCCTCCCCTCCGGACCCACCGAGCGCAGACAACTGAGACCTCACCAACAAAACTCTAGTGTGGTTTGGTAGCTACATGTGTGCCATAACAAAAATATTAAACATAAAGCCTCTCAGCTTCTGAGGTCGGCTCATTTCAATGTCCTATTTATTTTATATGAAAAATAACGGATTCCAGTGACCCGTTACTAAATTATAACCTGTTAATTTTTAGTTATGGTAGAGTTATAAATATGATCAAAATGGCAAAATTATAGCAATAGGAGAAAACATACGAGGTCACTATAAACCCCATAAGTTTAGGCTATATGTAGGTTTAATATACCCACTCTTGTGCTCACTTAAGTGCAATTCTTCAGGAGCAGAAGTTTCAATTTAAAGCCAATACATCAGCGTTTTCAAATGATGCTAGTTTTATTGATTAATAAAACCAGGCCCTTATATCAATAATACATTTACAGAATGATATTCTGCATTGATCTGATGCATGAAGCTGTACAGATCTTTAGTAGCCACATGATGGAGCTCGTCCAACATCTTCCCAGAGAAACAGTGTTAACTCATTTCTTCAGGAAATACAAACCAAAGACAGACTCCTATACCCCAACAGAATCAGAAGGAAATACGGCTTAAATGAAAGATACAGTTGTATAATGTATGAAGAATTTCGGTTAATTGGCACAAAGAATGTTTATGTGCAAAAGTAGTCCAAGACGGATATAATTGCTACATATAGCGTAGTCACATTTCTTCAACATTTTTCAATAAGAGGAGAGAGAGAACTGCAGTCGTGTCATGGTTTATTTGAAAGCAATAAAATAAAACGATACAAAGAAAAACAATCATATAAATCAAAACGCTTCAATTGCTCTGGTCCAACCACTGCCTGTAAACAGTGAATGTTTTAGACAAATTGTTTGAGCGGTGAATATGTGCTCAAGGTCCGTCTGCTGCCAGCTCACAAACTCAGATAGTCCACCTGAACCCAACACTGAGATCAGGTTAGAGATGTTTGTGCTGTCCGGCTGGTCCGAGTCTGATTGTGAATCATCATCAGACCTCATCCTTTTACATGGCACTAGTCCAAAGTCTGGCAAATAAAACTCTGGATCAACAATATGAAAACTTGTGTCCATCTTTCGCTTTTTGGTGTAGCACTGCGCGCCCTGCGGCTGTTTTGGCTGCGCGCAACAGTCTGAGTGGAAGTATCCATTCGTGACAGTAGTCACTACATGCGTGTCCAAATCAAGGACAGTCTTTTGGTTTACTTGTGTGTTTGGGATCGGTAACTCCCAGGAGGATTTGTCTGCACAACTCCAACAGGCTTCCGAAACCATAAGATCAGAGTCACTTGGTGAAACCATTGCGCAGGAGGATGCGTCTTGGTGCGCCACTTCTGCAGGCTGGCCGTTGGGCTGGTGCGCTCCGCAGTGCCAAGTACTCGACTCAACCCCAGTAAAGTTGCAGTAGAAGTCATCGGCCAACTCAGTAAAGCTCCCAGTCAATTCAATGTATTCTTGCCTTTCATGGACTGCGGGTACATCCTCATACTGATGAGTCCTCTGCATTTGCGACAAGTTTTTACTCATATAAAACTGCCTGGCGTTTCTCAGTACGTACGTTACCAGTAAGTTCTTGTGGAGCTTTATGCCTCCTCTCTGCGTCCTGGAGCTTTGGATTTTCCTCAAAGAAATGGAGATCAGATTTTGTGCGTCAAATGCACACTCCATCCTCAACGGGCCACCCTTGCTTTCCTCTCGGTCTCTAAAATCGTTTGTTTCCAAACTGGAGAAATATTTATGTCTTTACTTTAGATTCCTACTTGATTCGAGTAGACTGTGTCCATAGCGCTCCATGTCTTCCCAGTAAGGGCATGGATTTGCAACTCTCATCTTTCCTTGCCACGCCCTCACGTAGACATTGTCCAATGGGAGGGAGGCGGTGCTTCTGTTATACGCAAATATCACTACAAGCCTCATTCAAAATGCACGTAGGAGCGGGCATGCTGCATTTCACTAAATGTGTTCTGAGCTTTTTAAATCTCAGTGCGGACTTTACTGTCCATGTAAAATAGAACAAAACATACTGGAGAGGACTAGACTGGAAAGAGAGGAGAAGAAAACAATAGAAAAGAATACAGTAGATAGTCTTTACATTAGAACATACTGAATAACCTATAGACTATAATATAGTAGAAAAAACAAAATATAAAATAAAACAGAGTAATGGAATATTATATGCTAAAGTGACAGAATAAAATAGAATAGATAGTACTACAACAGAATAGAGTAAAATAATACAACAGAAATATAACAGAGTAGAATAGAGTAAAAGCATAGACTATCACATGCCTGAGATAGAATAGAATAGAATAGAATAGAATAGAATATATGGGAATATAAATGAATAGAGCAAAATAGAACATAATAACTAGCAATAAAACAGAACAGACAGTAATGAAACAAAATGGTATAGCACATAATAGAATATAGTAGAAAAGAACAAAAAGAAATAAAATATCAAACATTTGAGCTGTTTTTGTACAAGTAAATGCAGATAAATGACATGAAATAGGCCAGTTTCTACATCCACCCTATACTTATTAATATACTGTAAATTTTGTGGAGTAATTAATAGAAACGCCTCTCTGTATTGTGCAAAATACAAAACAATACAACAGCATCACAAACTACAGCCTCTAAGATGAACATAAAGTTCAATCAATACCTTTCTAAATCATATATCCATCTATTATCTATAGATACCACTTATCCTGCAGAGGGTCATGGGGGCGGTAGCCAATCCCAGCCAACACTGTGCGAGAGATACACTGTGGACAGGCTGCCAGTCTATCACAGGGCTGACACACAGGGACAAACATCCACTCACCCTTACATTTATACACAGGGGCAAGTTAGTCACCAGTCACCTTAAACTGCGGGACTGTGAACAGAAGCCATAGTACTCAGAGAAAACCCAGGCAGGCACAGAGAGAACATGCAAACTGCACACAGAAAAGCCCCAGTCAGCCATGAGGTTCAAACCTAGAACCTTCCTGCTATGAAGTGACAGCGTTAACCACTGCACCACTCTGCTGCTCCTTTTCTAAATCAGTTTCAACAAAAACTCAACGATATAGCCTTCATGGAGGCTGAATGTAGGTGTGCCTAATGTGTATAAAACTAGAAGGAAGAAGTAAGATATATCAAAAGCCGATACTCAAGAAACTAGGGTAAAAGCTAACTTAAAAGACAAATCTGGGTTGTGCATGTGAAAATGTCAACATTTTCCACTTTCTTCTGGATGTGTGTTCCATGAAGCAAGACCATAGCTTCTGAATGCAGCCACTGCATGAGGCAAAAGCCTTAAAGCACCCCAAATAACAAACAAGAAAGAACAGAATAGAATAGAAAGATGAGAGGAGAAATACACTGGTACTCACTTATATTCAACACTATAGCATTCTATATTATACAGTAGACTAAAATGTATAGTGTGTAGTTTAAATAGATAGATATTTAGTAGGCTATATTACTAGTATATGTAGTATTAGTATGTAACTGTAAGTGATATACAACACATACACAAACACCAGTTCAGTGTACTGTACACGCATGGAGAACAGTACATTATGTCTGAACAATGACACTGATGTCATTAGGACTGCCTCTGATAACAGAAATATTATCATTGTGCTCAGACGTGTGAAGCAAAAGCTCCTTGTAAAGAGATAAGCTGTCATCCCTGTCCCACATCTGTTTGCATGTACACACAGATGGCTGACATCATACTGAACACCTGGATATGTCTTTGATTTCCTGCCAAACAGGTGAATCAAGAGGACAGCCACCATTATAGTTATCATGCTCTGATAATAGTATAATTTATGGAGTGACACATGTGCTCTCTCAGGATTTTAGTTTAAGTGACAGAGAGATTATAGTAGGATGACATTGCATAGCATAGTATATCATGGTATATTTTATGTTTAATGGCCAAGTATGTTTGAACATACAAGGAATTTGACCCTGCTGCAGAGGCTCTCACTGTGTCTCAATGTGTGTGTTTCAGGACTTAATGGATTAGTAGATTGTTTAATTTCATCTAGTACCGCCACTGGTATATTTTATAAAACAAAGAGAATGTCTGTTAAAAAGTGTACAAATGAAACAAAACAGTGCTCCTATGACTTACCAGTGACATGACCTGCTGGATGCAGGCTTTGCTTCATACTGTTTTACACTGTTCCTACTACAACCACTTCAACAACTGCCTCGGTTTGTTACCTGCCTAGTAAACACTGTAGTGTAGTTTTACAGTCTGAGACATATGGTATAGCTTAATGTATCATATACTATGAAATGGCAACTTTATTTTATGAAGCCTCTTGCTGTGATTTTCCAAAAGACCACAAACACTTTTGTAATTGTCATAACAACATAAATAAATACAAATGTAAAAAGATATTTAGGTGGAAGCTATATGTTACTTTTAGAGCTGAACGGATAGCATGTTATATATGATGTTTTGCCTGAAATCATGCATTGTGGATGTGTGGCTGTATGGCAACAGTAAATTTGTAAATTGTAAAGACAAGGTGCCAAAATGTCACTTCGGGGGAAAAACTGTAGTGCAGATATTACTGAGCATCACTAGGGAGAATCCACAACCTGCAATCAGTGGAGAACAGCAAAAACCAAAGGTCAGAGCAAATGTCAAATAAACCTAGGATCAGTTTTGAAGATGCTCCGTCTGTACTTGCATGCAGTCATGTTAACTGGAGAAATCTTATCTACCTCATATGACAGTGAAGGCTTTAACGGTCATATGTAAAAGGCATAAACCAAGAAATTGTCCAAAATTAATTCATGTATTCATTTGGCCAGTCCCCATTTTTTTGCTATTCATTTGGATCACTTTGGCCACTCACATCAGTGTACACAAAGCAACCTGTTAAATTAATTCTCAAATCCTAATAAATCAGTATATATGTTTACCTTTTGGACTTTTGTATAATGTTAACTAAAACATGTTGGTTATACCTCTGCCTCATAAATATGCAAACCTATAGCAAAAACAAAAAGTACATTTGCAGATACAGTGCAAGTCACTGTAAATCTTTAATGGCTTAACATTAAATGTTTATGATTGTTTTTTTGTAATATCAAAAACAGGACTCAGGATTTGGATCTGGCCAGTGGGAGCAACTTGGGGTTCAGTGTTTTGCCCAAGAACACTTCGACATGTGGACTGAGGAGAACGGTAACCAAACTGCCGACAGCTCTACCTCCTGAGCCACAGCCGTCCCCGGTACTGTAGTAATACTGTAACTTAGTAGTACTGTAGTGCTGTAACTTTTATTTATACAGTTTAGGAGAGTAAAGTGTGGGTTGTATGCCAAAGAATAACTACAGTGTCACTACTGAAGTGAGGCAAGCATCAAACTGAATGCCCTCTTTCAAATTTGATGTTTGTACATAAAAAGAGAAGAACACTAATCATATGTTCTTTTATTTACTAGTCAGTTGTTCTTACTCGTTTTCTTTTTATACTGTCATATTTCAGTCCCACCGTCACTGAGACCAAATAAAGCTGAAACTCAAACATCTATTTTTATACAACTTACTATTTTCCATAATAAGTCTGGTATACTTTAGGTAGTATAGTTGTAATATAAATAATCTACCTTGTAGATTGTAATATAATTCAATGCAAGAGATCTGCAATAAATCATATATATGCTGCAATATTTCAAACAGAGGTTAACACAAAAGCTGTTGATTCATATCCATGGTGATTTTTGAAGCTGTATTTTCTGGAAAATTCTTCATTGTGTTTTCATTTATTTATACTTTAACACGTTTTTTTTTGTTTTTTTTTCAGATCATACCGCACACTGTACTGGTGTTACTATTTTCTGGTATTATTGGAAATACAGTGTTTAAATAGATGAATGAATATGTTGTCAAGATCATCTCTATCTGAATCTATAAACATGATCCAAACAACATCTTGTTTTAGGCTGACCTGGAAAAGAAGAGCTGTAACAAAGACTTAGCAAAATGATTTATGTTTCAAAATGAGAAAGCTGCATAGATCAGTAGATGACAAATGCACCACATATGCAATGAATAAGAGGAAAATCACCATGAAACATTTAAAATTCTCAAAGTTAAACAATGTATTCAAAGTTGTAAAGCTGAAAAACTCAATAATTTCAGGCTCATGGGAACCAATACCTTATTTTCTGCATATCTCATTTTCTCAAAGCATTTATCAAATACTACCAGATTTTTAAGATTGCAAAATGTACCACTTTACTGAAGTAGTATGGCAGAAAGCACACCAGTGATTCAGTAGTTACAAAATGCAAGAAAATGGAGACAGTTGGGAGCGGCACAGCGGGGCGGTGGTTAGCTCTGTTGCCTCACAGAAAGAAGGTTCTGGGTTTGAGCCTGGGCTGACTGGGGCCTTTCTGTGTGTAGTTTGCATGTTCTCCCAGCGCCTGAGTGGGTTCTCTCTGGGTGTTCCGACTTCCTCCCACAGTCCAAAGACATGCAGTTTAGGTTGATTGGTGACTCTAAATTGCCCCTAGGAGTGAGTGTGGGTGTTTGTTTCTAAGTGTCAGCCCTGTGACAGACTGATCACCTGTCCAGGGTGGACCCCCCCTCTCGCCCAGTGTCAGCTGGGATTGGCTCCAGCACCCCGTGACCCTATTCAGGAATAAGTGGTATAGATAATGGATGGATGGAGATGGTTGGTGGAGAGTCACTGTGCTTTTTTGTTTAAGTGAAAAAAATCATTGTACATTTGAAATGAACATTGATGTGATAATTCATCTTAGAAGCTATGTGTTAT